ATTTAATTAACGCCATCTATTTTTTAATATATTAAAAATTAATCATCTTATTATTCATCCCACAATAGATGATCTTATTAGATATCTTTTCTTCTCTTTTTTCATGTGTTTTTAGAAAATTTTTTTCTTTTTGAGTTAAATATTTAATACGAGTATATTTTAGATATTATTACAAACTACTACTATTTTAAGATATAATATATCAACTCGAGGTGGTGCGACAATAATATATAAAATCGTAATTAATTTCTTTTATCATATCATAAATCATATCACTCTGGTTCTTATTTTATAGTTGCAAAATGTTTCATTTCTAATATGGCACCCCTGCCTTTAAGCCCAGAGATACGGGATAGGATATATTGTCTTTTTTTTAATATACCCGTTCCTATTCGGACCCAATTTTTTTAAAAAATACATGGGCCGGGTTATATATTTTAAATCGTTATTACAATATATAAAAAAAATTTTTAAATATATATATTTAAAAAAAATTAGGCCTGAAAATAAATTCTCGGCTGGCCGAAAAATTTATTTACCGGGAAACACCGTGGCGTCGCTAGGGGGAGCGCAGGGGCTCGAGCCCCCTGAAAAATTTGAATAGCCCCCTGAAGCAAAAAAAACTTTTTAATGGCTCCTTAATATCCCCTTGAACTAAAAATAAATTTTTTTGATTGCCCACTGAATGATTTATTTTATAATTCCATTAAGTAAAATATAGATATAATATTGAATATTATTTTAATTATTAGATTAGATTAATACATATAAATTATATTTTCACTATGTCAGCTTGCAATCAAATTCTGTATTAAAAATATAATATAAATAACTCACTAAATATTAATTTAGCTTTAACAGTTGAAGTTTAATTGACTTTTATTATTTAAATTATTATTTAACCTTAATTAAATAAATATAATCATATATTATTTGAAAATTAACAAACTTAATATTGTAATTAGCCGAATTCAAAATGAGTAATCAAGTGTATATTTATTTTGAAATTTTATTATCATACCTTAAATATATTTTCAAGGTCAAATAAGTATAAGAGATTTCTTTATAAAAAGTAAGTAGACCTATAGTTTATAATCCTCTACTATATACAGTTGTTTATAAAGTATTAGATATAATGCCACTTTTTTAGACGTATTTGACAGTTATATAATATATTACAGTCAATTTTATAATAAATTTTACTAATAAATGGTTTTGATAATAAATATAATAACAAATTGCATTCAAGTATTTAACACCATCTATTTAGTTATAAATTATTTTAAAAAGTAAACATTTTATTATTTATTCTGCAATAGATGTAAAATAAGGAATCTAACAATAATGTTATTTTAACTATTAACAACTTATTTCGCATTTTTATTTGACAGCGTAAAGTAATTATTTTACTTTTTTTCTTGTCTTTAATCTAAAGTTAACATTTACTTTTTTTGTTATTTATTATTGTAACATAGATTGGAATGAATAATCGACTTTTTGTTTTGATATTCATATTTAATGTAAAAATGTAAATACATTTATTCTGAAGATTGTGAGATACTTTTTTTACTTTTATACTTTTTTTAAAATAATGTAATATATAATGTTGTTAAATGGCTCGTTTTGAGCCGATTTTTAAAAACGGCTAACTCAGTATTTTATCCAGAATAGTTTTACGCAAGCCTGAATATTTTGTTTGTAGAAGGAATCAGGGGCGTCGCTAACCTTTACAATCTCAGGCTCAACTAGCCCCCCATACCCCCCATTTTGAAGACCTTCGGCCAGGTTTTATATTAATATATAATACTTTTTAAAAATTTAATAACTTTAAATAATTATTATGAATGTCATTTATTATATTTTGAATGCAAAATAAACTAGCATATAGAAATAATTAGTGATGTTAAGGTAACTAGTTGTAACTATTTTGGCTAAAAAATAACTGTAACTAGTTATATTTTTAAAATTGTAATTAGTAACTGTAACTAGTTAAAATTTTTGAAATGCAACTGCCAAAATAACTAGTTACTCTTAAAGATATATTCAAATAATTAATTTCATTTTTAATATGTTGTGATAAATTAAATTTATTAATTTAAAATTTTGTGAAAATGTCTGATTGTTCCCAACAATAACACAAATACTTATATGTATGGCAGATGTGCAGGGATTAAAATATTGTCAACCTTTAAAGGATACTATATTAGCCAGTATTGAAAAAAGGTAACTAAAATCAAATAATTATTTATAAATTAATAATATCATGTTATTGGTTTAATAATCCTAATGATAATGACAACATAATTGCTGCAATTCTTCACCCTTTATTTAAAACTGACTGGCCTTGGATTAGGCAAGAAAGGAATAAAGCAAAAAAGGAGGAAATTTTAAATTTAATAAATACCTTAATACCTCAAAGTGAATCCCAGACGAATGAATCATGCTCAAAACCAACATCACTTGATGTAGTATTTTTTTACCTAAAGCGCCAAAATATTCTGGATAATGAACTTATAGAAAACATTATCAAATCTAATAACAACACTTTTTCTTTATATAACGATTTTCCAAAGTTAAAATTACTCTTTATTAAATATAATGTTGTTCTAACATCAAGTGCTCCCGTAGAGCGCTTATTCAGTCTAGGTAAGCTCATTTTTAGAGATAAACGAGCATGTCTCCTAGATAATAACTTTGAAATTAATTTGTTGTTAAAAGCAAATAAACATTTATTAGATTCTAATTTTTATGAAAAATAAATGTTTTTTTCAATGCAAATATATATTTTTATATAAATAAATTGTATATTATTTTAAATAGATTATACTTTGTTTATCCTAATTTTTTTTATATTAAATAAATGCATTCAATAAATAATGCGCATATGAGGGATGTATAAAGTAAGTAACTAGTTACTTTTGAAAATAACTGTAACTAATAACTAGTTACTTTTGTAAAAATGTAACTAGTAACTGTAACTAGTAATGTTTTTAATTTCAAAATTAACTTTTAACATCACTAGAAATAATACAAGACATTTCTAAAAATAATATTTTTTAATAGAAAATCTATTTATTACAATATAAAATATTTTCGATTATTGATATAAAATGATTTTGCGTCTAAAGAATTATATATGATAAAAAAGGTTAATTAATTCATATATGCCTCAATTGATAATAGTTTTTGAAAACTACATAATATAATATAATTCTTAGCACTTATATTGACAAAAGGTCATGAAACTAATATAACTCCACCATTTTAGACAATGTTTTATAGAATGGACTAATAAGAAAAAATTTATTGACCTTACCAAATCTACAATTCTTGAAGAAGAGAATATTAACGACCAATCCAAATTATAAAACTATATGATGGTTAGAGCTTCCTCTTAGATGACATGATTGAAGCTAGATAGGTAATCGAGAAAATTATTGTATGATATTAAATTTCTAAAAGATTAACTTCAATTTTCATTGTTATATACGACTACACAGTTGATCTATTGCTTTTAAAATATGAGATCATATGTTCTCAGCAGCTGTACTAATAATCTTAAATTACATAGTCACACAAATAGATGCTGATTAATTTGCAGTCCTATCCATGACACTCACGATGGTAACCCATCACAATTTATTCTGTTAGATAAAAAAAACAAAAACATTAAAACTTTAGAAGAAATTATGCAAATATATTGAAGTCTTGAGTTATTTACACGGCAAGGATGCCATATTAGAAATAAAACATTTTAAAACTACAAAATAAGAACCAGAGTGATATCATGAAAGCAATTAAGATTTTATATATTATTGTCGCACCATCTCTAGTTGGTATATTATATCTTAAAATAAAAGTAGTTTGTAATAATATCAAAAATGTTTTTGTATTAAAGATTTAACTCAAATCTATTTTTCGAATAAGAAAAATATAGCTTTTCTAAAAACACGTAAAAAAAGAAGAAAAAATATCTAATTTATTACATTTATTGTGGGATATATATTAATACGTTTTATATAATTATATTTTAAATAAATAGATGCCGTTAAATATAACTCAGATATGTCTGTAAAAGTGGCATTTTACCTAATATTTTATAAAAAATTATATATAATAGAGGATTATAAACTATATGCCTACTTACTCTTATACTTATTTGGATTTGGACCTTGAAAATAATTTTAGGAAGAAACATGATAATTAAATTTAAAAATCAATAATATAGTTGATTAGTGATTTTGAACTCGGCTAAAAGATTAAATTATTAATTTTCAATTAATATAAGTTTATATTTATTAGGGTTATATAATAATTTGAATAATAAAAGTCAATTAAGCTTCAACTGATAAAGGTAAATTAATATTTAGTGAGTGATAATATTTTTAACATCAATTTTGATTGGAAGCTTACATAGTATAATTTATATGTAATAATCGAATCTAATAATTAAAATAGTAATTATTTAATAAAAATTATAATAGTATTATTGATTTTTTTATATCTATATATCACTCAATAGCATTATAAAAGAAATTATTCAGAGGGCAATTAAAAAAATATATTTTTAGCTCAAGGAGATATTAAGGACATTAAAAAAAATTTTTTGCTTCAGGGGGCTATTCAAATTTTTTAGGGAGCTCGAGCCCCTGCGCGCCCCCTAGCGACGCCACTGGAAGGAACAAAGGTTTGGAAATATATTCGCGAAATCTCGAGGCTTAGGTAATATTTATCTGGTTAAAATATTGATTTAGCCGTTTTTAAAAATCGGCTCAAATCCTCAAAACGAGCCGTTTAACAACACTAGATATATATACATTTTTTTTAAATAAAACACTTAAAATGGAAGAATTACATTTTACAAATTTAAAGAAAAGAAATATACTTATTCCTCACCCTGATACATCTCCAAAACATTAAATTAAGTATGAGAAAAAAAAATATATTATAGTGTAAGGAGGAATGGTTGATATTTAGGATTAGTTAAATATATTGTTTAAAAATAAGCCTTCACTCATAAACATTTATTTATAAAATGGGAAAGGAAAAGAAAAAAGTTTTAGAATTTAATATACTTTTTTTAAATTTTATTTTAGGGAAAAAGTGGAACTGCCATTACATATATAAATAGGAATCAAGCCATAAAACGATTGCAAATATCTTTATCTGATTTCAGGTTTTAAAATATATTTGATTTAACCTAATAAATATTTTATTAGGCGTTTATGCATTCTTAAAGGAATTTATCCACATGATCCTAAACATAGGCATAAGCTAGATAAGGGCAAAGACATAACTCAACCACAAACATATTATTTATTAAAAGACATACAATACTTATCCCATGAACCATTAATTGAAAAATTTAGAGAGTTTAAAGTAAATATTTTATAATTCCTTAAATGTTTAAATATGATATTTTATTTTTTTTAAATTATGTATTTGTAGATCTTTGCTACAAAGTTAAGAAAATATACTGCAAAAAAGGATCATCAAAAAGCAAATTTAGTAAGACAAAGCAAGCCTAAATTTAAATTTGATCACATTATTAAAGAAAGGTATGATTTATTACATATAAATATATTTATATTGGAACAGAGATGATATTAGCAGAGTTAGGGAAGGGGGGGGGGATTGCTGACATGAAAATTTCTGATAAAACCTATATGATAATTTTGTGCAAGTCCAGACTGGCATAATAATTTTTGATAAAGGGCCAAAATCTAAGCTTTAAGTGCCTGGCTACTGAGCTGATCTTATTGGTAAAATCAAATTAAATAAATCTAGGCTCCAGCAAATACCAAATTGAATTGCTTTCTTTATCATTTATTAAGGGTTTGCTAGATATACTTGGGTAAGTCAGTATCCCATCTAATACCATTTCCCATTTTTTATAGTCCTGTTCAGTACTATTTCTAAAATCCATTATTTATGACCTATTATCATTTTCATAGCATCTTTGCTGGTCTTCATTGATGCTTTGTCTCATTACTCCCATTGAGGTGTTCCTTTTAACCCAATTGTCTTGTTCAACATGACCTTACACCTTAGTCTATATTTCTTCTCATCACCATTTAAATTGCTTCTATACCAATCTACAATTCACTGTTTTATTGAATTCCCAATGTTTTATATTTAAATAAATCATAACTAGACCTGTGCTGAACACTCAATTTATAGCATCAGTTTTAGAAAGATTTTTTTGTCGGTGTATGTTGCCCACCAAATTTTGCCATCGTGGTTTCACACTATTTGAAATTTTTAATAATTAATTTAATTTGTGATTTAATGTATTAAATTTTTTATCAATTAAATATATGCTCTTAGTTCCAACATTGTTAGTAAGTCTGCTCAGTTCTTAAATTATTTCTTGTCTCACTCCTATTTAAATTCATTTATTTTCTTATTCTCAGAAATAGACTAACAAATTTCACTTTTACTCAGGTTTGAGGCACACAAAACATATTAGTAATATTCTATTATTTTTATAAAAACAAATTAAAATAATTGGCTTTTCCATTTAACAACTCTTCAAGCATGTCCAGCAAACATGTTTGTTGGTTGATCTCATGCAATTACAACTCATTCATTTGCTTTGCATATTTTCAATAAAACGGATAAATTGATAAATATTTTTTTAATTCTGCAAGGCTTGAAATTTAGGTCAGACCTATAAATTATACCTTATCTATGCAATAAAACTAATCAAGTTTTAATTTTTTTTAATATAGGTATCCAAATTTTGCAGATGCTATAAGAGATTTAGATGATTGCCTTACCCTGTGTACTCTGTTCTCCAAGATGCCAAAGACTAAATCTATCAGTAGTGGAATGGTCAATACCTGCAAAAGACTCACTAGTTTTAACTTACTCTCTTTTCATTATTTTTTAAAATAAATATTATTATTTTTTTTTACCAAACGAGGAAGATAAGTTTTTTTTGTAAAAATAAGAAGGAACGAAATGAGAGAAAAAAAAATCATTTTTAATTTTTAAAACTTTATAATTATTTATAAATATAAAATATAAAAAGTCGAATTTTCAAACTTTGTCCTTCAAACTCGGGCACTTAGAAAAGTAATGATATATTTATTTATAATATATTAATATTTGTAATTAAAATCAGAGCTGTAAGTTGGGTCAAGCTTAGGCCTCAAAATAAATATAAATTGTGGACCTAGCTCTGAGATATAAAAATTTATTTTATACCACTCTTCCAGAAGGTTTTGGAACCAAAAATGCATGTTTAGGGCTGTGCCGATTCTCATATTTTTCACCTATCCGATCCTATATTTTCCGATATTGCTTCAAAACGGATCCGATATTTATACTGATTTTTCACCACCTTCTTTTGAACCAAATGTAATTAAGAAATCAACATTTTTTTATGCAAAAAATTGAGTTATGCATAATTTTTTTATTTTTATAATTAAGGTTATAATTAAAAAACTATATATTTAATAATATATCCATTTTATGTTGTAATGAATTATAAAATTCTAATATATTAGATTTTTTAAATAAATATTAGAGGCAGAGACCTGCAGAGGTACCATTCGAACTGCCTGGATTTTTTTTTTCAAAAATTTTTTACAGCCCGGCTCAGCTCGGCCCGGGTTTTATATTTTAAGGTCCGACCAGCCCTTTTTTTAAATATAGTTTATTTATTTTTGATTTTTATAGTTAATAATGGCGATTTCAAACATTTGGCTTTAAAATATATGGTCGGGCACGGATTTTTTTTAAAAAAAATTTTCAGGCCTGGCCTGGGTTAATTTAAAAAATTAAAATACGGGCCGGGCTTAGGGCCAGGCTGCAGGTTTCTGAAGGATCTGCTTCTAGATATGGATTATCTATATCCCCTGCCTACTGAAGGCAGACTCAGATGATTCCGCAGATAACGCATTTTGCATAATTATATAATTCAGATACCATATTTAAAAAAATTCTTTTATTTAAAGTATAAATAATAAAATTGGCGTTATTAAATTAAATTAAACATTTGGTGTTCTTTTCTATTTTTATAAAAAAACTTTTAAAATACTATAAATCTATTTAAAAAAGAAATAAAATTTAGAGAGTGTTGTGCATTTGCATTGTTTAAAAAAAAAATTATTTAGAAAATTTTATAATAATGTAATATAAATATACATAACATAAAATAAAATAATAAAAAAAAAGATCGGATCGGGTTTTACAGATACCGGCGCCGATCCGACATTTTTGGAAAACACTAAATATCGGTACTGATCCGATATTTAATATCGGCACAGCCCTAATGATTTTAGAAAAGCTCAATGGGAATATGATTTAAAAAACATATATATATTCAAATGTGCTTTGGTACTTGCTGGGTTCCCCCAAAAAATATATGATTTATCACTCTGCATCAGCAAAACAGAATAATATCATTATTCCTGGTCATTTTTTTGTAAACGTTTAATTTTTTAATTTCCATTTTTTTTTATCAAATTTACTTCTATTGTTTTTTTTGTTGGCGTTCAGTTGAAAGGGGAAGAATTTTGGAATCTATAATTGGTTGATTTAGAAATGAATACTTCTCCTGACTCTTGATTTTTTGACTATTTTTTTTAAAAAAAAATGAAAATCATTTTAGACCTTTAAAAACAACCCATAATTTTAATATGTTTATCTTTTAAAAAATAAACAAAACCTTATTAGGTTTTCTTATCAATCAAAGGAATATACTATCAGATTTCCATAATGGGTCAATTGATTACCTGGGTTGTTCCATACGAATTTCCATTTACGGTATGGTGTATAATAATATAATGAATTATTATTTATTTTATTGATTCTTATGAATGGCGTAGGCGGATATCGAGGTGGACCTTAAGATGATGTGCACTTTCATAGACTTTTACATCAACTTGCTCGGTTTCGTTAATTACAAACTCTACACCGATAACAATTTAATTTACCCACCCAAAGTAATTTTTCCTTCTTTTTTTTCTTCTTACATTATTTTCCATCTATCATATTTTCCCTATTTTTACTTATTTGTTCTTCAAAAAAAAATTATATGGATTAATCCTGACAGATCAGAATCGGAGAAATTATGGCCAGTTTTACCTAAGTTAAATGGGGTGTCGAACTTAACCGAATCACGAAACCAAATTGAACCATTATAATTTCCTGATCAAATCGATATGGGAAAAATCTAAATGAGAGAACTGAAATGTTATAAATTTTTGCTAATCCTTTCATAGTTTTTTCTCTTCAAATTATAGTTATTTTTCTTAACTAATTAGCCATCATTTTAAAATATTATTTATTTTATAAATAAGTTTTGCTAGATTATTAAAAGGGGGTAAATTTTACAAAATATATATATAATGTTTTTACCTAGTATGGTAGTTATTAAATAGAAGAAAATGGAAATGGGTTACTTCCTTTTATTTTGGGGTTCACTTGATTATTTTTAACGAAATAAATATGTTTTTTTATTTACAACACAATACCAAGCCTTTCATAAACACAAAAAAACTACCCTTATTTTTCTTAAATTCTTAAATATTTATAATAATAATAAATATAATTTTTAAAAATTTTATTACGCATACAAAATATAATAAACAAATTAAAAAAAAATTAATTAATTAATTAATAATCAAATCCTTACAATAAACAAATTTTACAAATAAATAAATTAACAATTAAGTCTACGACAATGATTTACTATAACTAATTATATTAACATCTAACATTAAAAATAAATGAATTTACAATTAAATCTACGACATTGATACATTATTATTATAACTAATTACATTAACTTTTAAAATTGCGACAGTAATAAACTTGGCAAAACTAATGACCACATATCACACCTTCCCCTTAAACAAAACTAGACTCCTCTCCCTCCTCATCCGACAACATGTATTCTAGGAGGTGGTCTAATTCTCGATCTACACTTGAGACTCCGTTTCCTCCTTCTCCCCTCCTATACATCCATTCGGCCCTGCCACGTTTCCACTTAGTCTCCATAACTCTTCCTAAGCATCTGTTTCACCGGGATCCCGTTGCTCGTCACTCGTTGACCGTCGTGGCCTTCCTTCGCTTCCCAAGACTTCGGTTGCTCGTCACACCCGTTATATCGCCCTGACCGCCACGTTCGAGTGGACCATCGGCGTTGCTATAGGTGTGGGGAGCAAAGACATATTAGAAGTATGTTTTCAAGGAACGTTCAAAGGCAAGAGAGGCAGACTGAAGTATTAGTATTGGAGCCAACGGGAGTATATGAGACTTGGCCAAAGGAAGAGCCAGATAGTACTATGGAAGGGTGGACCCATGGCCGGGGGAATAACAAGGATCGAATATGCGTGTAACCAGTAATGTAATCATACCGGAGTCTTGGGAAGCGGAGGAAGGCCGCGGCGGTCAGGGCGATATAACGGGTGACGAGCAACGGGATCCCGATGAAACAGATGCTTGGGAAGAGTTATGGAGACTAAGTGGAAATGTGGCAGGGCCAAATGGATGGACAGGAGGGGGAAAAGAAGGAAACGGAGTCTCAATACATGTTATCGGATAAGGAGGGAGAGGAGTCTAGTTTTTTTTGAGGGGAAGGTGTGGTATGTGGTCATTAATTTTGCCAAGTTTATTACTGTCCAATTTTAATTGTTAATGTAATTAGTTTTTAGTAATGATGTATCATTGTCGTAGATTTAATTGTAAATTCATTTATTTTTAATGTTAGATGTTTATGTAATTAGTTATAGTAATGTATCATTGTCGTAGATTTAATTGTTAATTGATTTATTTTTATAATTTGTTTATTATAATTTTTTTATGCATAATTTTTTTTTTTTTGATTATTATAAATATTGAAGAATTTAAGAAAATAAAAGTTAGATTTGTGTGTTTGTGAAAAAGCTTTGTTTTGTGTTGTAATATTTTTCGAGTAAAAAAAAAACATTTATTTCGATAAAAAAAAATCAATTGAACCCCAAAATAAAAGGAAGCAACCGATTTCCATTTTCCTCTATTTAATAACTACCATACTTGGTATAATATAAAAATTATAACATATATTACGATTAATTTAATAAAATTTAAAATTTATGAGAAATGGAGGAAATAACCTAATATTTTGTTCAAATATAACTAGGATGTAACTATTCCACACTCTGGTTCTAAAGGTTTTATAAAAAAAATATATGTAAACCATAAACGATATCTTAAGTCATTTTCGCCTTCATTCCGGATGAACGGGAGATTGGACAACCAATATATTTCAATTTTCCTCCCCCTTTTTTTAAAAAATTCTAAGATTCCCTGGCATAATATTAAATGTTCCCAAAACAAAGTTTTCTAGATCATTCGCCACCAACTCTATCGATACCGAGATAAGCATGTACACCCAGCATGATAGTCAACTCGAGAGATTGGGGTCCTTCAACGAGGATCTCCTTAAAATTAACAATGACGTTTACCAGGTTTTCGTACTTTTCATAACACGATGTTTTCTTCTATATTCTTTACAATTTTTTTTCTACGTAATTGTAATTTAAAATTATTTGAAATTTAAATTTGATTGTTATAATATCCTTACATCATGCCCACGCATAAAATTTAATGGACAACAATTTTCTAAAAGAAAAAAAATAAGGAAAATTTAATCTATCTTTAATAAACGAAGTTCGGATAAGCCTAAATTTAAGTTCTTCCCTAATTTTTTTTTTTTACCTTAAGATTATTTTTTGTAATTAAATATATAAAAAAAATATACCATAAAATTTTTTCCTATTTCAAAACGACTTATTTTCTATTTGATTTTATATAAATCAATGACCTTAATTTATTTATTTTTGCATCATTAAAAATTTTAAGAAATAAGAATTACATTCAAATATCATGTTTTTATTTACTAGAAATAATTTTAGTTGGAAACCTTATACTAAAGCATTCCTTGAACGTTTGACAATCATTATTTAATAAAATGCAGGGTAGTTATAAATATATTATGAATACGTACCTATTTACTCTCTAATATATGAAAATTATTTGAAATTAATACAACTGATAAGCAGACGATTAAAATTTGAATTTGCAAACCCATAAAATGTCTCAATTTTTGTATTTTTGTAGTAATATTTTTTTTTGGTTCACTATCTTTTTATGCCCTTGAACGCTCCCCCCTCTTCTATTCGTCATTTATAGCTCTATTTTGGTCAATAAAAATAAAACAATTTTAAAAAAATTGCAACATAAATTTCTAAGCATATCAATGTTTATGGACAAAAATATAAAAAAATATACTTATTATTCTCCAAATAAATTTTGATCAATCAAATAATTTTTATATTTGATCGGGTTTGGGACAAATCAAAAAAATTTGGGACTGCGTCCTGGAAAATTAGGCTAAATATGGACCTCCACCGAATAATGTTGTTTTATATTATATCACCCAAACGTTAGCTAACTCCAATATGAATTAGCCCAAATTTTTGCCTAAAAAGATGACTTTAGCCTCTAAGAATTCAGAGGATTTTTTTTATAGAATAAAAATTTGGCTATATAGTTTTGGAAGTTGGCGAAGGATCGGAAATACAACATTTTTATCGGGTATGTCAAAGTCCTCATCACGAATTATTTTTTCATTCTTAGGCCACCCATTTTCGTAAATACGTTTATTAAAATAGTTATGAACTCTGATAATGAGAGTTAATAATAATATATTTATTTGGGGAAACGTAAACAGGAGAATTTGCAATCAGATCTTGCACACAATTTAGACGATGAAGAGCTAAAAATTTTACATGGCGGAACCATCGAAAACGAAGTAAAGGACGTTTTTGACCAAAATTTATTCCAAAACCTGAGATTTTTCTTGAACCGGGAAGTTCCCAAAGACGCTCTTACCTTCATTATTAAGTACACTGAAATTTTATTTATTCATATTAATTTTTTTTTTGGGGGTTGGGGGCTGGGATTAATAAATTTTTTATGATCTTTTAATGCTGGCCGGTAAAGAAAATATAGGAAAGTTAGGCAGACCTGCACTGGAGAGCGAAAAAAATTAGGAAATCTAGAAGTATTCGGCCAATATAAAATTTGATAAAATAGGGCATTGACCATCGGTTATGAAGAAAAGTAGCGGTGCAAAGATTGTATAATAAGTTATTACAGGATTCTATGTACAAAATGCAACCTTTCTTTGTGCTTGAATAATAATAGAAATTGTTTTCTATCTTACAAAAAAAATAAAATTTATATTTTGTACAATTTTATACATAATAATGTGCCAATGATTCCATATGGCATTGCATAATTTTTTATATAAAAGCTTCTTATAGAAAAAATTTTTTTTCATAGAAAAAAAGTCAGTGGGGGAATTTATTAAAAATAATTAAAGAAAGATCTTTATTTTCAAAAATACTAGATCATCTTAACAAGGATTTTCATTCAGATCCTTATCCAAAATTCATTTTATATTTGTCAGAGTTTAATTAAAATTTATAATATAAAGTAACGTTTTGCGTAACCGTTATTCAAAAAAAGAAACCGTTAATCGTTACCATCCCATTAGAAACGAGTAACGAACTGCATTCCACTTCCTCATAAAAAAGTAACGTCGTTCGACACAGCTTTACAGCACTTGTGCCACTGTACTCATTTTTTAAAATAATCATTCAAACATTGGTAGGTGATCATCATATGGGTATTGTTACATCTTTCTATTATTTTCTGGGATTAGTAACATTTGAAAACTTTGAATGTTCATTGACTTATTACCTTGACTTTGAAGTCAAGTCTAGTGTTGTTAAAAAGTCGAGTTCTTACGACTTGCGACTCGAGTCGTAGTCGTAAAAAACGGCTCCGACTCAAACCGATCAAGGAGCCGCATGAGTCGGCTCACTTAGTCGGCTCGCTTAGTCGGCTCACTTAGTGGGCTCAGAGGGTAGCTTGAGTTTATTTTAAATTTAGAGCCAAAAATTATTTTTATGTTATTGAGAAATTTTAAATAATAATGTAGAATTTTATTTATTTATTTTTAGTAAAATAATTTATTTTATTTATATTTTATTTAATGCAAATAATATGTTTTGATTTGATTATAAAAAAATGGATTTATTTATTTGATTTTTTTTTAAATAAAAAAAAATTAATATTTTTGAGCTAAAAATTTTAAGCAAAAAATATTTTTGAAACATATTTTGCTGATTTTTTGAAGAAATTTTATTCTTTTGTTTTATCATAAAATTTTATTCTTTTTTTAATTATATCATAAATAAATAATCTTTTAGGTCAAATCTTCTATAGTTTTTTTATATTATTTTTATAAATATATCTATATTTTAAGTTTATTATTGGAGGTGGCTTTTTCTAAATATTTTTTTAATAAATATATTTATATTTTAAGAATATTAAAAGAGGTGGTTTTTCTTTTTCTAAATAATTTTTTTTTAAAATATATCTATATTTTAAGTATATTAAAAGAGGTGGTTTTTCTAAATTATTTTTTTATTAATATTTATGTCAAACTTTTTTTTAATGCGACAATTGTCATATGCGTTAATTTTTAAGATTTTTGAAATTTTTGGACACAAAAGGGTTATAATATAATTTATATTGTAAAGATATTATATTATAAATTCAATGAAGATGTTCCCTGGAAAAATGATAATTATCATAATAGGTAGGTATATTTTTGAACATATAAGATTTTTTTGTGACGCTAATGGGCAAAAATATGTTTCTTTAACAGGTAAAATTTAATGTAGATGTACCCTAGATAAATGACAATTGTCATAATCATTGTTTTTAAAGTTTTTTAAATTTTTTTGACGTAAATAGGCTAAAATAAACATTGCTAACATGTCTAAATAAAACTTTAGTGAATATGTACCCTAGATGACAATTGTCATAATCGTTGTTTTTAAAGTTTTTCGAATTTTTTTGACGTAAAAGGGCTAAAATAAACATTGCTAACATGTTTAAATAAAATTTTAGTGAAGATGTACCTTAGATAAGTGACAATTGTCATAATCGTTGTTTTTAAAGTTTTTCGAATTTTTTTAACGTAAATGGGCTAAAATAAGCATTGCTAACATGTTTAAATAAAATTTAAGTGAAGATGTACCCTAGATAAGTGACAATTGTCATAATCGTTGTTTTTAAAGTTTTTCGAATTTTTTTGACGTAAATGGGCTAAAATAAGCATTGCTAACATGTTTAAATAATATTTTAGTGGAGATGTACCCTAGATAAGTGACAATTGTCATAATCGTTGTTTTTAAAGTTTTTCGAATTTTTTTGACGTAAATGGGCTAAAATAAGCATTGCTAACATGTTTAAATAAAATTTAAGTGAAGGTGTACGATAGATAAGTGACAATTGTCATAATCGTTGTTTTTAAAGTTTTTCGAATTTTTTTGACGTAAATGGGCTAAAATAAGCATTGCTAACATGTTTAAATAATATTTTAGTGGAGATGTACCCTAGATAAGTGACAATTGTCATAATCGTTGTTTTTAAAGTTTTTCGAATTTTTTTGACGTAAATGGGCTAAAATAAGCATTGCTAACATGTTTAAATAATATTTTAGTGGTAATGTACCCTAGATAAGTGACAATTGTCATAATCGTTGTTTTTAAAGTTTTTCGAATTTTTTTGACGTAAATGGGCTAAAATAAGCATTGCTAACATGTTAAAATAAAATTTAAGTGAAGGTGTACGATAGATAAGTGACAATTGTCATAATCGTTGTTTTTAAAGTTTTTCGAATTTTTTTGACGTAAATGGGCTAAAATAAGCTTTGCTAACATGTTTAAATAATATTTTAGTGGAGATGTACCATAGATAAGTGACAATTGTCATAATCGTTGTAATTTATATACATTCTTAAATTAATTGTTTAATAGGTTAATATAAAATAAATTGATTTAAACAAACGAATATATAAAATATAAGTTTTATTTATATGAATAAAATTATAATTCATGCTAAACATTTACTTTTTAATTAATTAAACAATTTGATATATAAATGCCATAATAACAACACGCGAGCTTAAATTAACATGATTAAAATCTATATTTTTATCGATTTGCATCAATAAAATTATAAAATAATGATTATGACAATTGTCACTTATCTAGGGTACATCTTCACTGAAGGTTTATTTAGATATGTTAGCAATACTTATTTTAGCCTATTTAAGTCAAAAAAATTAAAAAAACTTTAAAAATAATTATTATGACAATTGTTACTTTTCTAGGGTACATCTTCACTGAAATTATATTTAGACATGTTAGCAATACTTATTTTAGCCTATTTACGTCAAAAACTTTAAAAATAACTATTATGACAATTGTCACTTATCTATGGTACATCTCCACTAAAATTTTATTTAATCATGTTAGCAATGCTTATTTTAGCCCATTTACGTCAAAAAAATTCGAAAAACTTTAAAAACAACGATTATGACAATTGTCACTTATCTAGGGTATATCTTCACTTAATTTTATTTAAACATGTTAGCAATGCTTATTTTAACCCATTTACGTCAAAAAAATTCGAAAAACTTTAAAAACAACGATTATGACAATTGTCACTTATCTAGGGTACATTACCACTAAAATATTATTTAAACATGTTAGCAATGCTTATTTTAGCCCATTTACGTCAAAAAAATTCGAAAAACTTTAAAAACAACGATTATGACAATTGTCACTTATCTATGGTACATCTCCACTAAAATTTTATTTAATCATGTTAGCAATGCTTATTTTAGTCCATTTACGTCAAAAAAATTCGAAAAATTTTAAAAACAACGATTATGACAATTGTCACTTATCTAGGGTACATTACCACTAAAATATTATTTAAACATGTTAGCAATGCTTATTTTAGCCCATTTACGTCAAAAAAATTCGAAAAGCTTTAAAAGAAACGATTATGACAATTGTCACTTATCTATCGTACATCTTCACTAAAATTTTATTTAAACATGTTAGCAAAGCTTATTTTAGCCCATTTACGTCAAAAAAATTCGAAAAACTTTAAAAACAACGATTATGACAATTGTCACTTATCTATCGTACATCTTCACTAAAATTTTATTTAAACATGTTAGCAATGCTTATTTTAGCCCATTTACGTCAAAAAAATTCGAAAAACTTTAAAAACAACGATTATGACAATTGTCACTTATCTATCGTACATCTTCACTAAAATTTTATTTAAACATGTTAGCAATGCTTATTTTAGCCCATTTACGTCAAAAAAATTCGAAAAACTTTAAAAACAACGATTATGACAATTGTCACTTATCTATGGTACATCTCCACTAAAATTTTATTTAAACATGTTAGCAATGCTTATTTTAGCCCATTTACGTCAAAAAAATTCGAAAAACTTTAAAAACAACGATTATGACAATTGTCACTTATCTATGGTACATCTCCACTAAAATTTTATTTAATCATGTTAGCAATGCTTATTTTAGTCCATTTACGTCAAAAAAATTCGAAAAACTTTAAAAACAACGATTATGACAATTGTCACTTATCTATCTTACATCTTCACTAAAATTTTATTTAAACATGTTAGCAAAGCTTATTTTAGCCAATTTACGTCAAAAAAATTCGAAAAACTTTAAAAATTACTATTATGACAATTGTCTTTTATCTAGGGTACATCTACATTAAATTTTACCTGTTAAAGAAACATATTTTTACCCATTAGCGTCACAAAAAAATCTTATATGTTCAAAAATACCTACCTATTATGATAATTATCATTTTTCCAGGGAACATCTTTATTGAATTTATAATATAATATCTTTACAATATAAATTATATTATAACCCTTTTGTGTCCAAAAATTTCAAAAATCTTAAAAAATAACGCATATGACAATTGTCGCATTAAAAAAAGTTTGACATAAATATTAATAAAAAAATAATTTAGAAAAACCACCTCTTTTAATATACTTAAAATATAGATATATTTATAAAAAAAATTATTTAGAAAAAGAAAATCCAGTATATATTCTTAAAATATAGATATATTAATAAAAAAATTATTTAGAAAAACCACCTCTTATAATAAAATAAACTTAAAATATAGATATATTTATAAAAATAATATAAAAAAACTATAGAAGATTTGACCTAAAAGATTATTTATTTATGATAAAATTAACAAAAGTATTTCTTAAAAAAGTTAAAAATTTATTAAAAAAATCAACAAAATATGTTTCAATATTTTTGTTCAAAAATTATTTTTTGCTTAAAATTTTTAGCTCGAAAATATGAATTTTTTTTTATTTAAAAAAAATCAAATAAATAAATCCATTTTTATTATAAGATCAAAACATATTTGAAATAAAATTTAAAAAAATTTTTTGTTTGCTAATAATAAAATATTAACATTAAATATAAATAAAATAAATTATTTCACTAAAAATAAATAAATAAAATTCTACATTATTATTTAAAATATCTAATAACATAAAAATAAATTTTGACTCTAAATTTAAATTAAACTCAAGCTAACCTCTGAGTCCACTAAGTGAGCCGACTAAGCGAGCCGACTAAGTGAGCCGACTAAGCGAGCCGACTAAGCGAGCCGACTAAGTGAGCCGACTAAGCGAGCCGACTAAGTGAGCCGACTAAGTGAGCCGACTAAGCGAGCCGACTAAGTGAGCCGACTAAGTGAGCCGACTAAGCGAGCCGACTAAGCAAGCCGACTAAGTGAGCCGACTAAATGAGTCGACTAATGCGGCTCATTTAGTCGACTCGAGTCTGAGCCATTTTATCGACTAGAAACTAGGCTCGAGTCGTAGCTAAGTCGACTCGGCTTAGCCGTTTAACAACACTAGTCAAGTCTACTCAAGTTTTTTTTTTATTGCGTCTTCATCAGTATAACTATTATTAATTATTCATCTCCAAAAGAGATTTAATGTAATAAAAAACGCAAAATAAATATGTATCTATAAATGAATGCGGATACTGCTAATGTGGAGAAAATGTTTTCGGATCTAAATAATGCAGCAAGTCAAATTAGCAGAGTTGTTAAAAGATACTTTTTAAATAGACCTAGATACAGATACAGCTTCTAAAAAGTTGTCTTGATACAGATACAATTTAAAATACAGATACAATTTAAAATACAGATACAATTTAAAATGTATCTATATACAGATTTTTTATTATACTCTTAGATAAGGTTTGAATAAACCTAAATTAGGATTCTATTGTGAAAATTCACGAAATGATCTAAAAAAATTATTGACTCGATATCACATTTATCAAAAAATAGCTAAAATAATGATTTTTAGATATTAATATAATATATGATTAATTTAAATAATTTATATATATCATTAATAAAATAATATAATATATGATTAAATGATTATAAATAAGTATTAGATTTCAGTAAGAACCACTTCTGTCGGCAAATTATTTTTTTTTGTGGAGCTAATGTTTTGATCATTTTTATAAATGAAGGATTTTCAGCAATTGAAAATGGCTAAATGCTATCTATAATAAAATCAGTTATTAAATCATCTAAAGTGGTTTGGGTTAAAGTCTGAGGTCCCTTGGGACAAAAATCAATGGACGATGAGCCTAGTCCAATATTTTAATAGAATTTTTCTCCTTCCCCTTTTTTATTTGGATTAAGGAGTGTTTGATGTTTTCTCTAAAATTTAAAATTAAATTTGTAAAAGTATCTATACTTAAATGTTTTACAATGTTGCAAGTTAAGGTAATGCTAACTAAAATTTGCATATTTTTTGGTAGACGTGGCAAACATTTTACTAACAGAGATTTGTTTTATTTATTTTGAGTTATTATTTTAAAATATGGTCTATAAATTGGCCATGGAAGAATGTCGTCATTTTCGTCATCAATATTAATCTTAAAAATTAATATAATAATTAATAGAATAAAATAAATACCAATTCCATTGCAATTAAAAATAGCAAATTCCTTGAGATGGATTGTAATATCAGAATTTGATTGTTATTGATAACTCGGACATAATATTTATATATTCTTTTTTATATATAAGTTTTAATATTTTACATATATATGATTTTTTAATATATATATTAATATTAAGTTATATGCTCATATGAAATAAAATAAATTTTACATTCAAGTATTTTTATTTATAATATAAAAAAGCGTTAAATATAAGTATATCAAAATGTATCTTAAAAAGTATCTAAAAACAGATACAGATACCTTTAAAATAATATCTAGATACAGATACTTTAATAAAAAATCTATCTAGATACAGATACCACATTTTTATATCTAGATTCCTAATAACTCTGCAAATTAGTATGCGGCGGAACTAATATTGAAAATTTGCTTTTCCAGAATATAATAAATTAATCTACAAATATATTACAGAATGATATATTGCTAAGAAAGAAAATCAGTATTTATAGCAGCGCTATAGAATCTCACTAAAAAGAGGCTATGAATTTAACTCATAATTTGCGTTTTGAATCCATTAAAAATTGCCATCGCTTAGCTACTCGACATTTTACTGTCATTATGAGCGTCCTAGCACAAACCTTCTCAATTTCATTAGACGTTCTGGGATAATATCCATTTGTCCTTCGCAATCGGATCAGGCCTCTGACAAATATAAACTTCGGTCTTATTCGGAAATATTCACCAAACCGGCAGGACCTACAGAAAAGGGGGGATGTCTATCCCGGGCTTCTTATGCGTAAAAAAACGGGCAGAGTTTGCGAATATCCATATTGTCATTTACATTTTTTTAAAAAATTTCTTAGATCTTTTGGAGGCGTCGTTTCCTGGCCCGATAGTTGTGGGATAGGCTTTACTTACGATCAAAACAACGAGAAAATAACGCATCAAATTGTTGACCGCAATAACGATCAGGATGGGAGGAAAATTTTTAGGAATAGGTTTATTTTTTTTAAAATTAATTTATTATCGGTTTACTTTCTACGTTATTATATTTTTTTCTTTCCCCCATTTAATTTCATTTTTTTTTGTTTCCATCCTTTCATTTATTCATAATTATTTAGTTCCTATTTTATATTATTTTTTCTTTCTTTCTTAGTAATCTTTTTTTTTTAAAAATTCAGAAATAGGGGTTGAGTTTCTTTATATACTACATGTACATTTATTTTGCAATCATTTTTATTCCCTCTCCTTCCACCCCCACACTATATCGTTATTATAAATATATAGGTATTACATCCAACCCCAATGGGTATTCGATTGTGTCAACGCTCAAAAACTCCTCGATGTACAACCTTATTTTCCGTCCACTACTCAAGAATTACCACCTCACACATCCCCTTTCTACGAAATGCACCCATCCAATATCAGCGATGATGAAGGTCTATATATTTTTTTTAACTTTGGTGATTAATACGGTATACTTTGATATTTGAAACTAATTATCTACTTTTTTAATTAGTCAATCCCTTCAGTGCTAAACGAAATATTGATATATTTGATGGCATAACTGAGTCTTTGTGATCATGTATACTAACTTAAGGTACTAAAGCAGTTCCTCATATTTTCCTATCCCTTATATTTTTGGAGATATCAAGGGTCAAGTTATGCAAAATTTTATGCCTATCGATTCATTCAATTAAAGATTTACTAATTAATGATTCTAATAATCAAAATAAAGTTCACACTAAAATCCTTTTTGTCCAATTTTGATAATAAATGCAAATTCAGATTTTAACATTTCATAGTGAAAATAGATAAAAATGTCAATAATAAAGAAATTTTTTTTTAAGATAATATGCTATTAATTTTATTTATGTGATATTATTATTATAGTAAATATTATATTTCATGTATTTCGGCGATATTTTTTATTGGTAAAGTAAATATTTAAAAAGTAAATGAAATGGCATGTATTATACCGTATTGGCCAAAAATAATTTTTCTAACCATCCAAAACTTATAATATTTTTTAAAATTTTGCATAAATATGTTTTTTTGTGAGAATCTTTGCTAGTGTTGTTAAACGGCTCGTTTTGAGCCGATTTTTAAAAACGGCTAACTCAATATTTAATTCAGAAAGATATTCCGCAAGCCCTGATGATTTTGCTCATAGAAGGACCAAAGGTCTAGGCATACATTAACGAAATCTCTAGGCTTAGGACAATATTTTTCTGGCAAATATTGAGTTAACCGTTTAACAACACTACTCTTTACTATTATATAAAAAATATAGTATAAATACATTTTAAATAATAATAGAGCTTAATCATATGTGCTTATCTATTGAATAAAAAAAAATTTGTTTTTGTATCCAATTTCCATGGTGAGAACCAATACTTGGCATTCCAATTTTTTAAAAATAAATATTCAGATTGGTCTGTGACTGACACTTGTTTAAAAATAAATCAAAGAAACTAATTATTGGGTTATGCCTTTGAGAATATCCATTTTACACAATTTCCGAATAATTTTTATTGATTTAAAATATAAAAAAAATACTAATAATGAAAATTTGCCGGAAACGGCCTTTTTATAATAACAAAATCGAGAAATAAAAAATAATTCTTACAAAATACAAATAATATGACTCATTATGAGTCTTATAATCCTGAGCCAAACCAATACGTCTAGGTTAACAAACCAGATTATTGCGCGTGATAAAAATACATATAATGAACTTATAAAAAAAAATATATATACCATTATAATAATTTTAAAAAAAAACACCAATTATGTCACTAATTATTATTTATCGGAATTTTAAACTTTGATTATATGGATCTCTAAATTAAAAATGAAATAACAAATATTTTAAAAAAATAGAATTGTATGCATTTTATATCGTTATTTAGAATTCTAATGAATCTTTAATTGAATGGCAATCGCGTAAGGACAAGGTCATTTTTTTTATACTAATTAAAAATCTACATATAAACAAATTATATTGTAAAATACAATAAAGCCCCATATTAGGCTAGGCTGACTTGATATCTATAATAATGCAAGATCTATGATATTAAGATTTGATCACTGCTTTAGCTACGTGCACCTTATCATGGCTGCTCCGCGAATTCGCGCTAACTGTGGATGCAGAGTTAGTTAGTTTACAAAATTAACCAATATCTTAAGGAGTCTTAAGATTGAATGAATGTCCCAACTATAAATTGAAATCTAAACCAGGTTTTTCTTTTAATTTTAAACTATTAACCAAAAAACAAGTGTAAACTCTAGGGTATGGGCTGCCCTTTAAAGCCTATTTTTTAAAAAAAAACTGACTATGGAATAAATTTAAATTATATCAATGACCAAATAAAAAACGTGATGAATCATTTAAATATATGCATTTCTTTCTATCTTTATGACTTTCCTTTAAAACTAACATATTTTTTTTGCAAAATAAATAAATAAGAATAATCAGTATTAACCAAAATTTTCAGAACTCGTGATTGGGAATTTAATTTTTTTAAAAAATTATTAATGGAGTTATATAATTTTAATGAATACTTACTATTTATTTGTTACAGAGGCAATTGAAGACAGAGAAGGGGCCAGTAACCCAGAACGAGTATTAATATTTTTATAAAATATTCTCTTTATACTTTCATTTGTCAAAAGGTATGAAGAACTTAGCAATGGCACATATAGTTATTTTTCGAATCCCAGTTTTTTATTTAAAATGCTGACATAATTGGAGTTTTAAATTATCTTTTTTTAAAATTGATTTTATAACCAACACTGCCACTGTACTTGCTATAATATTTTTTTTTAAATTAAAATGCCTTCGATTAGGAAGTTCAAATTACACTATCTTATCCATAAGGCACTCTTTTTTAAAAAAAAATTTTTTTTATTTTTGATAGCCATCAAAGAGACTCAAATCTGATAAACAAGATGATGATGCTGAAATAAACGACATCACGAAACCTCGAAAAAATATGGGTAAAAAACATATGAGAAGCGAGCATGGCCGTTCCACTCTTGCGAATAGCTCTGAAACATCGGAGAAAGCATATGGTGTTGAGAAGGAAGAGAAGAAACTTCAGGAAATGATGCTTAGCAAAAAGTATAAAAGGCTTTATCACAAAATGAAGAAGGTTCAACAATTCAGGGAGAAAGAGGTATAAATTTTATCATTTACTGATTTTTTTTTTCATTTAAAAGAAACTTGATAAAAATTATTTATTTATATTTTTTTCATTTACAAAGGCTAAACAATTGAAACTGAAACGTAAAAAATTGGTAACGAACGCCACAAATGACAAAAAGAAAATTGAAGCATGTTGAAACTTTTTTTTATAAAATAAAAGTTATATCATTATACGTTTGATTTTTATTATACTTACATAATATAATTCTTGTGACGCTTTAAATAGTATCAAATAATTTTTTTTTTTGGATTATCTTTCACAAACTATCAGAGTTGTTAAAAGAGACTTTTTAAATGGGTCTAGATACAGCATCTAAAGTGGATTTAGATATCGATACCCTTTTTACGGGCTTATCTAGATACAGATACAATTTTTGTTATATATATTTTTATAATGCTTAATTTAGGATTCTATCGTTAAAATTCGAAATGAGCTAAAAAATTTATTGAGCTGATATCACATCATCTATACACAAATATATAAATAAAATAATGATTGTTAGATTTTATTAATAAAACATCAGCAGTTTATCTCTAAATTAAATTTTTAGCTACACTAAACTCTCTACCAGCGCACTTTACAGTAGAGTGATTGTTATATTTAATTACATAACATTATATTGGTATAATCAGTAAATATATTAAAATATCGACACTCATTTTTTAATTATTTAAAATGTGATGAGTGTCAAAACTTATATTAATATTTATAATCGATACTCATTTTTAAATTCAAAATGTGATGAGTGTCAAAATTTATATCCAAAAATCTAACATTAAACTATTCACGATTGTCTAGAAATATTGATCCTAAAATTATGATATATATTTTTTATCCCTTCTCTTAATCTTCAATTGCAACTCATCAAAAATGAGCATACACATGCCATTGGCATTCACTCAACTGCATCAGTATTTTTAGATTTGATGGAGATCATTCAGATGTCATAACCAAATTGAAAAGGGGGTCAATTTCTAATTTGGGGCTATTCCTGTATAGAACCTTAGCCTCTACAAATCCTAGCACAAACATTTTTGATAGCAAAAGTTTTTTATATGTCCTATTTGCGACTAGAGAATGAATTTATTTTTAAGATAGATATATATCTCAGCTATTTCAGAGTTATGACACGATAAAAAAAGTAGGACATGAATGATAATAAAAAAAATCATCATGAAATATAGGGGGATATGATGGTATTTATAAGCCCTACCTTTAATTTAAAATATATTTTTAAATAATTTTCACAGTTTATTAAAACCTTATAAACAAAAACCATTAAGTGGTTTATTAAATAAATTTAATTTTAAGAACAAAATTGTTATAACTGGATATTATTCAAATTTTTATCGATGATATGGACAAACGGGTTGCGTTTAAGAATAAATTTATGAATCTGACCAATAGTGTGGCATTAAAAATTATGCGGGGTCCTCAATTTGTTTTATTTCTAACAGATTACACTATCTATTTAAAGTAAAGATAATTTTATGTGTTTCATTTTCATTTTTAAAATTAATGTTTTATTAAATAGTATATATACTTTTTTCTAGATATTGAATCTTTGAAATTAATTTGTAATTAACTATTAATTTATATACAAAAAGTTCTTATAAAATTACTAGTCAAAATATTTTATATATAAAAAAAATATATAACTTGTACATATTATTTTCATGTTTTAGTTTTAAAAAATACATTTACGTAAACAAAATTTAACACATTATTAAAGGAAGGGGATCAACAAATCCTATATAGCCCGTTTACATCGGAGTTAAATTGTTAGAAACTCTTTATTATTTTATGCCAACTGAAAACTTTTTTTATATTTTGCTTATTGTCATAAACTCTACTTAGGTGTTTTTAAATTAGTTAAGCCCCCAACTTAATAATTTGAAGGGATGACACGTAAACTTAGAAGTAAGGTCACTGTATTAAAAATAGGAGTATACAATTCAGATTAAACGATATCATTTAAATAACCTAAAAGACTTGTTGCGTCTTAAGGATGCGAAAATTATTTTGAAATTATAAGATTTTGTCTTGTAAGACTGCGTCCTTCATTATCAGCGTAATGCTGCAGAGGCAATTGTAATGTGGGGAAATGTAGTATCTTTCAATTATCTATATTATCATTACTTGTGTTACTAAAAGTCCGATTTGGATCCATTTTTTAAAACGGCACCTAAAATAATATAATGTAATCAAGATTTGGCAAATAGAGGTCTAAGAATTTTTGCCAGCTATGAGCAAAATCTTTATGCTTGATTAATATTGTTTTGGTTATAATTTTAAACGGGCCATTTTTAAAAATCTACCCGAATCGGGTTTTTAACGACACTAATCATTATCAACGAATTATTAAACACACCTACTCATTTGAATGATACATTTTGAGATAAAACTACACTTTTTATTATCGAATTTTTGTATTTTTCAGCTTCATTTCATTAATCAAATGGCATATTATTTTACTTTCTTTCTATTTAATTCTTGAGATAGATATCAGTTTAAACAAAAAGTAACGTTAAGTTATAAAGTGGCCTAAAAGAAGTGATCTTGGATGATCTTAAACTCGTCTAATTTATTATTTAGCTATTAGCTTTATACAGTATTGCTAGTATAAACAATTAAAGTTACATTTCACTTTCAGTATGTAATAATAATTTTCTAATAAATAATATACTTATGAAAATATCCAAGTAAAAAAAAGAAGTTAAATTCTAAATATAAATTATGATACAAGATGATGCGATTTAATTGATAAATGGGTGAATTTTTTGCCTCGTTCATAAAGCTTATGTAATTGTGAAAATTATAACTTATTTTGTAATTTTATAATCACTTTTGACTTTATACTAAGCTTTTCTATTAAGTGAATAGTTAATTAATTAATAAATTGAAATAATATTTGTAAAAAAAAAAATTTGGGCTCCTATATCAATGTAGCTAGTGTTGTTAAACGGCTCATTTTTAGCCGAATTTTAAAAACAATTAACTCAGAAAAATATTGCCTAAGCCTCGAGATTTCGCTATTAGATGTTTAGACCTTCGGGCCCTCTATGAGCAAAATCTTTAAACTAGCGTAATATTCATCTGAATAAAATATTGAGTTAGCCGTTTTTAAAAATCGGCTTAAATGGAGCCTTTTAACAACACTAAATGTAGCATAAAAGTAGGATCACTTTTTTTAAAGCGGTTTCCTAGACACTTTTCCAGTAATTTATTTTTAATTTCAAAAAAGTTTTTGCATGATATATATTTTATACTGACACTAAACAAATTTTTATTTTTTAAATTTTATTATTCAAATAAATTAATTCGATAAATTCTTATTTTTTTTTCAATTTAAAAAATAATTTCTTTTGAAAAAAAATATTTCATATCTTACCAAATTACAGTTAGATATTTTATTATTTTTAAGTTTTGAAAAAATTATTGAATATTAACATTTTAGTGTCATTATATTATTTAAAAGAAAAAAATAAAGATATTGAATACTGATTTTTATTTAAAAAAGAATAAAAATTTGTTAAAAAAATTCGTCCCTGGGTGGGCTTGAACCACCAACCTTTCGGTTAACAGCCGAACGCGCTGACCGATTGCGCCACAGAGACTTATGCATTTGCAGGTATTTTTTCTTATATATAATTTATAAAATTTGGAGCATAAAAATCAAAATAATCGATTAAAATTAGAAATATTTTCTTTCTTTAACGGTTAGGATATCATTAATAGAGATTCGTTATTTTAAATATTCAATTTTATAAAAATAAATTTTATATTATTCGATGATATTATTTTAAAATTTATAATTAGCTATATTATGATGATTTTAAAGATTTACTCATAAAATTATTATTATATCGTCTTCAAAATCAAAACAGATATATTCGTCGTGGAATTATCCGTATAATTATTTTTTAAATGATCAAAGCGATTTTGGTTTTTAACAATCACGGAAAAGTTAGATTAACTAAATTCTTTCAATATTACGTAATAAGCTACTCTAATTTTTAATATATAATTGTTATGATATGAAAGACAGAGGAAGAGCAGACACAAATTATAAAAGAAACTTTTCATTTAGTTTCCAAACGTGATGATACTGTTTGCAATTTTTTAGAGGGTGGTAGGTATTATAACCTAATATTATACTTATAATATTTTAAAGTTTAATAGGAGGATCTGATTACAAATTAATTTATAGACATTATGCTACACTCTATTTTGTGTTTTGTGTTGATCCATCAGAAAGTGAATTGGGCATATTAGATTTGATTCAAGTTTTTTAATATATTAAATCTGATACAATTAATGTAGGTTTTTGTAGAAGCTTTGGACAAATGTTTTGAAAATGTATGTGAATTAGATCTGATATTTCATGTGGATAAAGTTTATATAAGAAACATTGCAATACTTTTATTATATAAAAGGTGCATTATATTTTATCTGAAATATGCATGGGTGGGTTAGTGTTGGAAACAAATTTGAATGAAATTGTTAACAGAATTGAAGAGCAAAATAAAATAGAAAGAAATGAGGTTAATATGAATTTTCATCACTTTTAGTAAATATTATTAATTATTTTACTTTAGTTTAAATTATTTTAAGACTAGAATAGAGATATTTAATACTGTGAAGATTTTTTATGTCTACATTTCTTGAATATTTATAGTAAGGTTGGTAATGTAATTTTTTAAATTTAAATTTTTTGATTTAAAGAGTTATGGATTAGTTTAAAAAATATCATAAATCATTATAGGGTTAGTTGTTGAAAATACGTGAATGAACCATGATCCATCATATACTATATCTTTTAACCAAATCTAACTAGTTGATACCTGACTGACATTCACTATAGTAAGTAATTTGTTCAATTTAGTGGGCTTCTTACTAAATCATGAGGTTTACACAATATTATTTTGGCTAAAATCTTAATTGGGCTGTTTTTAAAAATCGACCCAAATTGGTCTTTTTAATATTAATAGTTCATACCTTATGATGGGCAAAAATGATTTGTTTTGAAATAATCTATCAGCCTTTAAAATTTTAAACTAGTCTGAACTTATTTATTCTTACTCCTAATTAAAGTGTTTGGTAATTGTCAAATGTTGGTCAATTAGCTTAAATCTTCAGGAGCATGATGGAGAAAATACATTAATTTTAAGCTTTTAAATTTCTTTTAAATTTGAGCTGTTATATTTTTAAGAAAAACCCCTAGGCTAAATTGATAGATTTTAGCTAAAAACTCAGTTTTACTGGCTAAAAATATTGTAATTACTAATTTTAAAAATAGCAAACTCAACATTTTATCCAAAAATATTAGACAAGAACTGAAAATCTTGCTCATAGATGGTACAGGTGTTTGGATTTTTATTTGCGAAATAACAATGCCATTATTTGACAGCTTAAATTGAGCCATTTAACTACACTAGTAATTATCTACTTTTAATGCAATAAGATGCAACTATCTTAACTTGATTAAGGTTTCTCAAATTTTATCCAGTAAAAATTACAGTTCTTTTCTTTTTACTCTTAAAAACATATTTAAATACTGTTCTTTTCACATTCGTATAATATTGTATTTTTAGATTTAGTTTTAGTCATTGTTGCAATTAGGGAGTCTCATTGATAGTCACTCTTTCTTTTGTATTGGATTATTATGCATATGTTGTTTTTTATTCAATATTATAAGATTTACATTATTATTTGTGATTGTTTGTCAAGTATAAAGAGGAGTAAAATTTGTAAACAAATATTTAAAGGTAAAACTTTTCAAACTAAATTTTTGGGAACAAAGTGAACCCCCCCCCCCTTATCTAAATGGAAAGAATGGATTAAATTTTAAGAAGTTCTACTTACAGAACATACCTCACTACGATATAAATATATGTAATCATATTAAGTGGACAGCTTAAAATATTTCTAAATTATTTACTAATATTTATTTTTAAAAGGCTGGGATATCAGCTGCTCCAGCAAGGGCTCTCTCTTCCATGAAAAATATGAATATTCCTCAGCAGATCAAAGACAATATAAACATCAAAATGCCAGACTTACCTTCCATAAACCTTTCTAACCTTAAATTTCACTAATATTATTTTTATATAATAATGAGAAAAAAAAGAGTAATTATATTGTATTTATATGCCATTATTACTTTAACTCAAATAACATGATTTTGTAATACGAAAATATTATTTTGCCAATTTGTATTTTTTTAAATTAAATTTTGGCTTGAAATGAATAGAAAACCATTGAGAAGTTAATTTAATAAGCTTTAAAGAAACTGAGTTTTATTTTTAGATCTAATAATAAGGTGGAAATCATTTTAAAATAACTTAATTAATATCGAGGATCCAAAATATAATATTCTATTAAGGGGAAAAAAGGTATGCTAGCATTTTCATTAGGGGATCAATGCCAGGCCATTTTACATCTGCTTAAAAAAATACTATCCACATTTAGAATATCTGATTAAGAAACAAAAATATACTGGTGTACAATAATTATTTTTAAAATATTAGGATTACTTATCAGTCGTTCCTGTAAAGAAGGGCTTTCCCTTTCACGAAAAATACGAATATTCCTCCTCAGGTTAAAGAAAATATAATCAACAATATACACAATTACAATTTTTTTTTTATTAATTTCCTTGCAAGTTCATACATATCAAAAAAAAAAGATCAAATATGAAATTTTTTCATAGTTGTGTTTTCCTTCTAGCAGCAGATATAAATTTTATCGAAATTTCTGGATCTATCAATGTTTTGGACTAAAAAAAAATATATTATAATTTTGATATTAAAGCTCAAAAAAACATTCGTCCAAAATTAATCGGACTTTAACATTATCTGTATCGGTTACGGTTCAAGGGCAAAAAATTATAATGGTTCCAACAGAGTTGTTAAAATAGCTCGCTACAAGTAGTGCACTGGTAGCTATAGTTAATAGCACTTTGCCTTTTTCCCAATTATTTTTTTTTTAGCGCGCTCCTTTTTTTTGAAAGTAAGTAATTAGTTTAAAAATATAATGAATGTAATTATAAACATGAAAATTTAAATACATCATAATTAAATATAATTTGATTTTGAAATTTGTATTATAAACCTATATCATCTGGTGTAAATTATTTAAAATGATCCAAATCGATGTAAGTGAATCAGACAATTATGATAATAATGAAATGGAAGGTACCCTGGAAGTTAATGTTGATTACAAATTTCTATTTTTCAACAACTTCTCGAAAAAAATCCTTGGCGTCTGCTTTTAACATTCAAGCATGGCTCTTCTCTCATTCTCTTTACCTGTAATCCTCTAAAAAAGGGACAGGTAGTTTAGATGGGTTCAGACCTGGTTTTTTTTGTTGATTTCATCCAGTGCTTTGATAGTGGCTTTATTGACCCTTTATTAAAATCATTAACCCAACTTTGTAATACCTTATACGCGTAGTTCCTATTTGTAAACGCCCTATTCTTTTTGGTACACGTCTTGTTTCTTTGGTGGTATTAGACCCATAGCCATAGGATAGTCACAAAGGCAGTTCCCTCTTATTCCCCTAACATTTTGGAGTTAGAAGTGGGTGCGAAGTGGCCTCACATGTAGCTAGTTAGTAAACAGGCGAAGGTTTTGTGCAAGTTAGACTTCAGAAAGGCCTTCTTACATAGCACAGGAAATCATTTCTATCCTCCTACATTATTTCCCCAAATATTAGAATTTCCTTAAATCCTGCTATGCCTCGTTACACTTTTCCATATCCTCTGAAGAGGGGTTCAGCAGGGTGATCTAGGTCCCTTGCTCTTCACCATAGGTATACATAATTTGATCAAAAATTTAAAGTCCGATATCAAATTAGACCTTAATTTTCGAAGATGGCTCTTTTGGCGCATCTTTACCCAATGTTTTGTCGGCCGTCGAATTCATTGAAATGGATGCTTCAAAATTGGTCTTTCCTTAAATAGAAAAAAATGTATCTTCCTTTAAATACCTCTCCCCCAGATTTTATCATTCCATATGAGGAACTCTGACTGATAGGTTTTCCTATTAGCTCTTTAACTTCCTTATGTCAAAATTTTTTTGGCTATTTAATTCCATCTTTTTTTTAATTCGCTTAAGAATTTTACTCATCTTCCCAAGCATCAGTATTTTTACCTCACCAAAAAATGTTTTTTCGTACCTAAATTACCATCTTTAAATCTTCCCCTGCTTTCCAATATAATTCCCTCCTTAAGTCCTTCGAATTAAAATTTAAACATTTTGTCGAATCCCTACTAGTCTTAAAGTTTTCCCATTTTAATTGGTCATTTGCCTCTATGCCTACTAACCAGGGAATTTTCATCTTCCATTTTAATTTCAATTGCTTGTTTCCTTTCTTCGCGGATATCCTTTAACGACTCTATTTCCTCGCTTATCGAGTTGAACGATCCCCCTTACTTCGGTCAAACAATCTTGGCTTACTAGTTCTCCAAGGATAGTGTCAAGTCATTTAAAGAGCTTTCAAGTTCCCATGCTTCAATGTGCATTTGAAAAACTTTTTGTCCCGATCTAACTAACCTTCAACTACTCAGACAAGCAAAATAAAATTCTAACGGCCAATGACTAGATGCGATCTCGAGCGGTAAAAAGATGTTACTCACAAACGATGAGTTTTAAATTGCTATTGGACATAGGATAGAATTATCCCATCTGTTGACATCTGTGCGGCTTGCAATAAGCAAGTTGATCCATTTTTTCTAGACATTATTTCTCTTGCTTTAAAGTCAGTGGCTTTTTTGCGACATGACAATCTAAGTAGGTTGAATGACAAATCTTTGATTTAAACCGGTCCTCCAATAGTTTGGAACCCTTAGGTCTCCTAAAGATGGTAAGCGTCCCGACGGCATGTCTTTAACATCTTGGCTCGGTGGCATAAAACTCGTCGATGTCTCATGTGTTAACTCATTCTTGGCTAATAGAAACTCGGACCCCTTGGAACTCCAAGAAATAAAAAAAAATGCAATAAATACAGTTTCTTTCTAAATTCTTTTATTTTTATTCCTCTAATTTTTAGTGTTTTGGGAAACCCTGGTCCCCAATCCTTAAAATTTTTAAATCAATTGGGTAGAAAAATTTCACTAAGGACATGGGTTAAAAACGAGTCCCTATTCCTCAAACAAAATAATTTGGAATCCTAAAAGGGAACTACGAGTGTTTCTTCGAAACATTCCTTTTCCTTCTTAGCTCTCTTTTTAAATTAACATTTTAATTGAAAAAATATTCTAAATATTTTAAGAAAATATTGAAATTTATATATGTTTAGAATTTACGTAAAATAAAACTTATGAATTTACATTTCTTTATTAATTATATTTGTGATTTTGATATACAATATTTATTAAAAATAATCTATTTTAGATAACATTATCGAAGAAAAATAAATATAAAATAAACATAATTCATTCATTAAATGCTTTTTTCCCCTATTTAAATCTATAGATATCAGTTCAGAATGATATTTTTATTATGTAGATTAAAACGTACTGCAAACCCTCAATTTGTTCGCACTATAAAGAAATATCGAAATCCCTGCTTAGCCAGCCATGACCCCCATTAATTATAAAAAACAATAGTGTTGATGCATAAAATTATTTTATGCAAATAAATTAATTCATAATTTTTTAAAATAATTTTATAATTACTCCCCTGACTTTAATGAATAAATTATAAGTATAATGTAAAAATTTGTTTTAAAATAAATATTCGTTTTAATGGAGAAATAGTTCGAAAGGATGATAAAAATAGGGGAAATGACTCGTTTATTATTATCTTGTTTATATATTTTGTGCTCTCATAATAAGAGTTTATGTTCGGGAACAACCATTAGATCAATATATAAACATGGTAAAATTGGATCTGTCACTAGATACATTTATAAAATTGTCTCTGCATCTAGATACATTTATAAAATTGTCTCTGCATCTAGATACATTTATAAAATTGTCTCTGCATGTAGATATATTTATAAAATTACCACTGTATCTAGATACGTTTTCAAATGCTGTATCTGTATCTAGATCTATTACAGGCAATGTATCTGTAACTAGATACATTTAAAAAGTATCTTTAACAACTCTGAAAATTAATGTTTGGAAGGATAGGGTTCAAGCCTTTGGACTTTATTAATAATAATATAAATTTGATCCAATTAAATGGATTAATTTATCCTTTGTTTGTCATTAAAATTTTTTCTACAATGTTTGTTAAAAAGATTAGCGTTTATTGAACAGTTCGATTTTATTAAAAACGTTTAACCCCCCAAAAAAAATATTAAGCAAGTCTGGAGATTTTACTCATATCTGATAGCGAAATCTCGATGCTTACGTATTATTATTTTTTTTGTCTTAAATCTTCTACTTTAAATGAGCGAAATCGAGCCGTTTAATAAAACCAGGAAAGGTAACATCAAATTTAAGATTTGAATCCTACCAATCTTCTCCAACGTTTGTAACTCAAAAAATATAAATGAAGGGAAGAATGAGTGTATGATACAATTATTTCAATACAAAAATAATGAAAACTCCCCAGGGTTTCTGTTTCTTATTAAATATATGCTCTTAAATTATATTTTATAGTATTTAAAATATGTTGATAAACAGTTAAAAGAATAAGATTTCTATATCAACATGACCCTAAGGTCTGGCCGGTCAAAAATGAAAAAAAAATCAAAGCATTTATTGGACAAGCGGGGGTGATGGCTTGATCTGAACGTAGGAATTAATAGGATGGCTTGATTTGAAGGAATTAATAAGATGGTTGTAATAATATGTTTAAAGAATTTATAAAGAATAATTCAAATGGATATAATTTATCTGTTATTATATTTACATAAAAATAACTCTTTTTATATATCGTAAATCAATTATTTCCAATCACGTTATACAATTAACATTTAATATATTATTACAATCGTATCTTCTTTTCGCCTTTAGTGAAACATTTGTCAAAAAGTATTATTAAACGTAAATGTAATTGAATAAACACCACTTTAAGTTGTATCATTACAACATGCACCACTTCCAAAAAATATATATATATATAAAATAAGTATTGACAATACAATTGGTAATACAAAATAATATGATAAAGTATCAAAAAAAAAATTAGGGGAAAAAAAGGTATAACACATATTTGTACTCCTGCATACCATCCTTCTTCAAATGGTATGGCTGAAAGAGCGATACGATCTGCAAAAAATTTGATTTATAAATTAGGTGGCTGGGATGATAAATTATTAGTGTTTTATTAAATTATCGTAATACCACACATTCGGTAACTAAATCATCCCTTGCTTTTATATTATTTGGAAGAAATTTGAGATGGAAGTGGAGTTTTTAAAAGACAATGACTCTGATTATAAACATAAATTGAAAAGAATAAATTTTAGAGAGTTAACTTTAGGCAACTCTGTGTTTGTAAAGGTGGACAACAATCAAGAGTGGCGTGTAGGGATTGTCAGTGGGAGAATTAGGAATGTCATATGGGAGATTCAGATAGATAATAAAATAGTTGTTGTCCACATAGATCAAATTAGAAGTTTGTAATTGGATTTTCAATTATTCACTAAATTATCAGTATTTTTATAGCCCTTTTCCGATCGATATGTAATTATTGTTTAAATTTTTTTAGATAATGAAACAAATATGATAACAATACATGTTTTCATACCCTCACAATTTTAATTATTTGTTGCATATTAATCCTCTGACCCATAGAATATTATTGAATAACAAATTTTATAACAATACTTGCCCCCCCCCCCTTTTCAAAAATGTAATGTAATTGTTGCATATTAATCCTCTGACACAATATTATTGAAACAAATTTTATAACAATACTTGATTTCAAATCCCCCTTCACAAATTTAATTTATTTGTTGCATATTAATCCTCTGACCCAATATTATTGAAACAAATTTTATAACAATACATGTTTTCAAAAAACCCCCCTTCAAAAATTTAATTTATTTGTTGCATAGTAATCCTCTGACCCATATAATATTATAAGGGTGCATTTAAATTACCTCCCGAATGTCAAGCGAGTGTTTTTTTTCCCCCAAATTTTTTTTTTGATATTCTCTCAAAATTATTTCGTATTACCAATTGTATTGTCAATACTTATTTTTTTATATATATGTTTTTTTTTTGGAAGTGGTGCATGTTGTAATGATACAACTTAAATAGGTGTTGATTCAATTACATTTACGTTTAATATTACTTTTTGACAAATGTTTAACTTAAGGCGAAAAAAAGATATATTTAGATTGTAATAATATATTAAATGTTGTTAATTGTATAACGTGATTGGAAACGATTGAATTACGATATATAAAAAGAGTTATTTTTATGTAAATAACATAACAGATAAATTATATCCATTTGTAATAAATAATTATATCCATTTGAATTATTCTTTATAAATTCTTTAAACATATCATTATTACAACCCTCTTATTAATTCCTACGTTCAAATCAAGCCATCCTATTAATTCCTACGTTCAGATCAAGCCATCACCCCCGCTTGAGCTTAATTTTTTTTTTTTTAAATGAAATTCCTAACAGGATCAGTTTAGCTGATAATAAATATTTTTGTAAAAGCTGCTCAGCTTGGTAAGTATAAAATGAATTCGCGTGCAAGCCAAACTCACAATTGCACAGATTTATAACTCTGATGACATTAACGAATGGTTACGATTATATAAAATATACATTATAAAAAAAAACAAGGTTGGGGCATGTAAAAGTATGTATCTGGAATGTGATTTTTTTATTCTTAAAAAAATAACAACCTTGATTAAATGTATTCTTAGTTAAATAAAAGGAAAAAAAAATCAGAAAAATTATTATTTTTTACTTTGTAAAATTGGGAGGTTTCGTAGCAGACAGCTATACTTTCTTCGTAGAGCATAATATTGTGATTGGACATGGCTATGATCACGTTCCTTAATCTTACCATTCTCTCAAACATCTCCACATCTATCACCTTAAGTTATAAAAAAAAATAAAGTAAAATTTGGAAATATGCTTGAAAAATCTTATCAAAAATACATTGATACAATTTTTGCCAATATAGTAAATTTTTTTTTATGAAATATGATTTTTAAAACTTTCTTTCTTTCTTAGATTACAAGTGCCCCAACAAAGTATTTACCTTCGTCAGCAGATTTCTTTCGAAATCTGCCGGTCCAATTTCCTAAGCATTCACTCCTCACTAGGATGATATCTAACTTTTTATAGTTCTTTTTAATGTTATATTTAATATATAAAAAATTTTCATTTTGATATCGTTTATGTTGTATTTTATTTATAAATTGAAGAAAACGTTTTTTTTTAAAAAAATTAGATTTTATCTAATCTAATCTCTATTTTCATAAAAAATTTTGATTTATTAATGTAAGCTTATAAAAAAAATACCGTTTCAAAACTGAGGAAACTTGTAATTTATTTTATTGTACGTTTATTCTTCATAATAAATTTAAAAGGGTTTGGGTATAAATTCGGTTAGCCAAAAGACGGGTTTGACTAAATTAGGAGTTTAATCCATGATTCAAGATATTATTATTTCTAAGATATAATTTTTTAGATCCATGTTTTAAATAGACATTCCTGCACAACAATCATTAGTACAAGAACATTATTGTGGCTTGCTCAACACTAACTTACCACCAAGATTTCTTTGATTCAATCAATGATGAAAATACTTATCTCAATCATATATAGTTTTAAATAGATATTCCTGCACAACAATCATTAGTACAAGAACATTATTGTGGCTTGCTCAACACTAATTTACCACCAAGATTTTTTTGATTCAATCAATGATGAAAATACTTATCTCAATCATATATAGTATTAAATAGATATTCCGCACAACAATCATTGGTACAAGAACATTATTGTGGCTTGCTCAACACTAACATACCACCAAGATTTCTTTGATTCAATCAATGATGAATACTTATCTCAATCATATATAGTTTTAAGTTAATTTATCTACTTGATCATTATATTTATTTAAAAAATTTTTTTAAACATTCCAAAATTCAACAACCATCTAAACCCCAAATTTGAATACATATTTTTCAAAAAATATAGATTTTAAGTTAGTTTGTATTATATTTTTTAAAATATAAATTTTTATTTAAACATTACTCAATTATTTAAACCATAATATTCATGAATCTTGATACAAAAAAATCAAATTTTTAATTTTATTTTATAATTTTTATTTTTTTTAAATAACATTTTTGGAATTTTAGAAATAAGTCATTCATTCATATATACCCGCTCCCCCCTCCTCCTTTTTTTTCCTTCTAAAATGGGTATGTCAAGCATTTGTAATGCCTGCCATAGAAATATAACCTTGACCCAAACTATTGTTTATAAACAGGGGCCCAGGTCAAAACCATGTATACACTCTGGTAAACCCCCTTCAAATGAAATTTTGTACAACAAAATTGAAACAACCCCCCTGATTTTTATGATAATTTTTTAAAGTGGGAAAAGCCACCAACCTTAATCCACCTACCCCTTAAATCAAGGTCTTTAATTTCTAATTTTTTAACAACACTTATTATGGAAGTTAATTCAAATTTAAATTCCCTTAAAGCTTGGGAGAATTTTTTAACCTTTCCTTTTAAAGTCTTAATTAAACCTACAGATAAAAATAAAAATCTATTTTGCATACATATATAAAATAGACCATTTATATGACTCAGAAATGGAAAATTACGTTCCTGATGTAAGGGCTGCATCTGATTTTGCCCATAAATGCAAAATTATATCAAAAAAATAGACCAAGGGGACGTATGTGGAGCTCTTAAATTCTAATGATAAATTGGCTCCATTTGACATACTTTGACTTTATTAAAAGAATTGCACCCTCAGGCTTTTCCTGAAGTTCTTCCCATCCCTATAAAATCTAATTTAATCGAAATAGTTAAGGAAGAACTAATTAAAACAGTTTTATCTTTTAATAATTTAGCCCCTCTTATTTTCCAATTTTTAATAACCCTAAAAATCCTTATCAAGATTCATTTGTAAATTCATTGGTAATACTTAGTGAAAATATATTGAACAATGATTTACCTAATCAAGTTCACCATATTCTTTTTGGCGCAAGATTAATTGCTTTTTCTAAGCCTGATGGTGGAGTTCGGCCAATTGCAATAGGGTCTTTTTTGGAGACTATTAGCTAAGATAATGGTTGAGCGCATCAAACCTGATGCTTCAAAAATGTCCAAACATATCAACTAGGCTTTGGTACTAAAGGGGGGTGCGAAATAGAGCTCCTCTCTTAGCATATATATAGAAAAGCATTTTTGAACATTTTTTATGAAATATTTCCAGTTTATTCAAGATTTATTGAACAGTCTTATGGTTGTAGAACCCCTCCCAAATTCGGGGAATATACAATTCCATCTGAAGAAGGTATTCAACAAGGAGACCCTTTGGGCCCTCTGATCTTTAGTTTAGGTTTACATAACCTAGTTCATTGTCTAAAATCCTTTTTTAATTTAGATTTAAACATATGGTATCTAGATGATGGTATTTGCGGACCTTCTAAAAATATTCTTGCAGCGATAGAATATATAGAGAAGAATTCTCTAAACATAGGCCTTACTCTAAATAAAGCTAAATCTGAAATATGCTTTTAAAATTCAAATACTCTCGAAGTCCTAGGGTTTAAAATCATTAAAAAAAGTGAAATTAATCTTCTAGGTTTACCTTTAAGCAGTTTTTCCAACTGTGAGATGTTCATGGAAAAATTTTTCGAAGGTTTATTAGGACTTGAAAATATTTTAAAAGAAATTCCTTCACACCAGAGCTTTTTTCTTTTAAAAAAATATTTATTTTTATCAAAGATTTTATATATTTTTAGAACTTCTTCCTTTTTTTAAAATAATTAAATTATTAATCGTGTTCATGAATTTTTTAGAAGTTTATTAGAAAATATTTTAAATATTAAATTGGAAGATTTTAATTGGGGTTTATCACAAATACCCTCGAAAATGGGTGGTTTAGATTTTATATCTCTTTCCTCATTTTTGGCTTCGCGTTTGATGAATAACGCCATGATATCTTCTTTTATCTCTCCTAAAGACCTTTTAAACTCAGCCTTGACAGCTTGGATATCTTTAGCTCCACCTGAAGCTGTTTTATCCACAATCTTAACACACCAATCTATTTTCGAACCTTTAATTAAAGATTTTATAAAATATTCTCACAAACCCCTCTTTAAAGTCTATTCAACTATTACAGAATGCTGACTGTACTAGTGGTGGTTGGAAGCATTACCAAGTCGTAACCTAGGTAACCTCTCGACTTGGATATAACATTGTTCAACCGCATACATGCATCAAATGTAAAATATTAGTTGACTCCAAAGGGAGACATGATCTAAATTGTATATATAGTCAAGGCAGGCATGCAAGGCATGCAGCAATTAATTTAGCTATTAGCCGTTCTCTTACCAGGGCCCGAATACCAAACATACTGGAGCCTACAAATTTATTATTAGATGATGGCTTAAGACCAGATGGCTTAACTTCCGTGCCTTGGTCTTAAGGGAAATCCTTAATTTGGGACTACACATGCGTATCTTCTTTCCCAAAAAATTTAAATTCTAATCCGGTTGATATAGCCAAGAAAAAAAAACAATGAAATATTCCAAATTCACAAATTATATATTTACAGAGATAGTTATCTCTTCCCTTGGACATATGCCAAGCGGAACTTTAAAATTCTTCAAAAATATAGGCGATAAGATAAGAGCCCTTACATCAGAACCAAAAGAATACTATTTTTTAAAACAAAACCTACAAACTATTTTAAAATATAACTATTCATGTTTTTTGGGAACTTGTAGTCCCACCTCCGTTTTTATAAAATAATGTTTTATTTTATTTTATATTTATATATTGTTATCTATGTTTGTATTTTGTACTTATAAATCGTTAATTATTATAATAAAACTTAGAACGTTAAAAAAAAAAAAATTCAGTAACAAAATTTAAAAAAGAAAAAAAAAGGATAATAACATTTTCCTATCTGTTTTGAAATTTGTAATGAATTTATATAATTATCAATTCATGACTGATTTGACTAATTGTGACCGTGAAAGTCATTTGACCGTAAATTCGTCCTTTATTCAGATTGGATTTTTATATAGCTGTGAATTATAAGCTTAATTGTTTAAGAAAATTACTTGGAATTATCCGGTATATTAAATAAATACATAAAATCGAATAATTACTTGCACATAAATTCATATGAATAATGATATCGTTCATTTTGACCGAAAATGAACCAAAATAAGATCAAAATCTTACGATTAAAGTAAGCCCTTCCCATGACTTATTGTAGGACAACTATTTTTTTTTCTTTCAATATATAAAGGTTAATCATTACTTTTAGTGTTTGATAAAATTAAAAGTATCAGCCGATATAATCGGCGCATCTCCGAAATAATATTAATAAATGTTTGAGAGGGCAATGCTTAATCAATATTATTTTAAAGGGATATACAAAATAATCCCAATTTCTGGTAAAGAACCTATGCCATACCGTTTTAATTTGGTTAAATATTTGCACTTTTTTATGTTCAATTAAATATTTCATTCAAAAAATTCCCTATTGGGTCTATTGTTTTTTTTTAAAAATATAAAGATACAAATACAACAATCTTATACCACCATGTATTACGATTACGCTTTATGTTTTAAATTTATATCCTTCTCACATTCTTATCTGTGCTGCCATCTTCTTCACACTCATTACCATTATCTTTGTTATTGATCTTTCCCTCAGGTGAAATGGAGATCCATATGAAACCATTGTTTCCAAGACAAAGATTGAGGCCGATAGGCAACTTCAGGAAATGATTTCTGGACCTTTTAATCAAGTAGGGAGGAACGGATATGAATAAACCTTCGTCATCTAACTATTGAAAAGAAATATATTTTACATATTGAGTTGATAAAATATCGGTTTCATTAATAGAATATATTAAGATCCTTTCAAACTATATTTTTAAATGATGGGTATAGTGAATAGATGGAATAATAAATTAAGTGTCAAACATTCTATTAATAATGGTAGCTAGAACATGCTTTTTAATATTATTAATAAAAATTTTGATCAGATGGTGATAACTTACTCTAAAAATCATATTCTTTTCAGACAGCTATTTAAAATTCTAAAAGAAAATAAGACAAGTTAAGATGTACTAATACTTTAAAAAAATATATTATTCAGACCATATCCAAAACATAAAATTACTGTTTAAATTGATTTAAAAAAATCACAAAATTAACTAAAAATAGTCTAAATTTTAAAATATTATTATGTACATTATGTTAATTTATCACTTTATCATATTTCCCTCATTAAAGTTGTGAAATATTTGGATTTGCAATATTGAATAATATGTTTTCAGTAAAAAAAAAGCTCAAAAGAAGAAAAACTTGATAACAACATATAAATTTGTTAAACAAAATGAAAGTTTTGGATACCATATTTCAAATATTTTTACGTTTGGTCAATGATTGGGTTTATACTCCACTGAACAACCTAATTTTCAAAAAATGGCATGCTGCATGCAGTTAGTTTTAGAAACCCAATGAGATCATTTTTATTGGATTTGAAAATTTTTTTCAAAAAGATACAGACCATACAGTTGGTTGAACATAAATAAGAGGGAAATGTGACATTGTTGTATGCTTGTTAGAAATGAAAATGAAAATAAATATGATAGAATAATAGAAAAACAATAAATAAATACGAAAGAAAATATATAATTTACTTTTCCATAGTTTAAATTTCTGGTTTGCAATGAAAGGGAGCCATCTTTATGAACAATTTGTACCTCTGCCTTTATAGATTAAAAAATAAATAAAAAATTGAATAAATTAATCAAATTTTTAAACTGAATAAAACTTACATTTGATTGAAAAAACTTATTATTTAAATATAAAAATTTATTATATAAATTAGAGGTCAGTGTAGGAAAGTCCCAGCTAACACATGGAAATCTTTGAAATGGTATTTCATTTTGGAGCTTTAAAAATAGCAAAATAATTTGTAAAAATATTATCCTTAAGTTGTCAGGCCTGACCTTAAAATTATTTTACTTTTCCCATGCTAAACTCTATTATAATTTTAAATACTAAAGAAAAAAAAGTGTTTTATTGTGATGATAAATAAATGTATCCTAACTGTTATTAAATCTCCTTCTTGTAAAACATCCCTCATGTGAATTTCATCTTCCAATGATCTTCGTCTCTTTTTTAAAAAAAAAATGATAATAAATTTAATGATTATAAATTTACCAATTCTCCTCCAGGTAGGTTCATAGAAGATAGCAAAAGGTAAGAGTCTCTCTTAGTATTCGTGTGTAATCTCCATCTTTTTATGCCAACTTCTGTGACTCTTCCAATTATCAGATCACCCACATTACCAAAATATCTTTATTATATTTAATGTTAAAATTATCAAAAAAATTTAAACTTAGAACTGTTATGTTGTGCCTGTAAAAGTTTGTTAACAGTATTAACTTCACCTAATACAGATGAATAAAGAGTATCATTTTGACTCATATATGTGCCATGCCCTCTAGAATAAAATTAATATACAAATCTTGTTTGTTAATAAACCTCATATATCCAGCCCCTTCGGATATTAATTCGCCAGGAGATACTATTATACCTTTAATAAGTTTTAATTTATCTTCATAAGAAGAGTCTTGATTACGAGGTAAACCATATTTTATGTTTATATTCGACATTATATCAGATGGTTTGTTATTTTTTGAAAATATGCGAACCGTACCCTTTTTTGCGGATTTATTAATCTTATCTTATCTAGTAGGTTGATTTGATTTTAACCTAGATATGTAGAAATAAAATATTCATCCATTAAAATTTAACTTGTTTATCTATCAAATGGTATTGTTGGGATCGATCACATTATAATTTTGTTTTCAAATAATAATTTTGAGAATGACATGATTTAGCATTTACTTAACCAATATCAATCCTCTTTAATATTAATATTATTTATCAATGTGATTCAAAAAAGAAATTCTTTTATTGATCTTAAAATATTTCATCCGGTGCAAAAATTTTGAAGTGATATACTGTATTGTATGGGTTCAATCAAAAAAATATTACTATATCATACTGATCAGGTTAATTTTATTTATTTAATTACATATTTATTTTACGAATTTTATAAACATCAAATCTCAATATTGATAGCATTCTTTATGTCTTACACAGAATAAACTTAAAATCAGCCACCACCCACCCTTAAAGTAATTAAATTATATGTATAGCCTCTTTTTCTGCCCCACTCCTTTTTAATAGGCCTATAACATTTTTTGAAATGTTGCGCCTACAACTACCTGCAACTTGCCCACAAACGTGTGGAAGGCTTCTCATATTTTTACTTTTTTACCCAAATTAAATTAGTTCCAATTAGATGGAAATGAGGAAAACCTAGCGTAACTCTGTTGTACCTTCAACGCTAGAGTGCAAAAGCGCTATATATAACATACATCACGTATCTAGCAGGTTTGTCATAGACCTGCCCAAAATGAGCGTATGTGAATTTTATAAAGGCCTCAAAGGCCCACCCTTTATAAAATTATGCCGATTTTTTTCTCCCAACAAACCTTGTACTTAGTTGTAATTTAACAAGTGGAACCTACCCTTTCCGATTTTGTAATAGTGAGATTTAGTAATAGTATTATAAAAAAAAATATAAATTTAGTTATCTTATCTATTTTTGAATCCATATATTAAATAAAAAATAATATTAAAAATTAATCTTCATATTATTTATCCCACAATGTCTTTAAAAGATATTTTCTGATGTCCTTATCAATATTATTTAGTTTTCTGTAAAATATATAATTCGCTATATTGGTAAAAATTACTTGATTGTCATATGATAATTGATAAAATTAGATATACTGTAAATCTACGACATATAATATTCCAGTTTGTATTGTGCTTTAATTTTTTTATTTTTATCTTAATTTTATCAATAGTTTTATTATTATATTACTTTTCCTATTAAGAATAAATTAAAATTACTCACTATATTAAATATTATATTTGATTTATATTATTTAGTAATTTTATGGATCTATTATTAATAATTATAATACATTTCACTTTTGTCTTAAGACTTATCTTTAGCTTAAAAAGCATTTTTGGTTCACATTTTTTATATATAAATACTTTTTTCCAAAAATGTATAGATTATGATGAACAGTTTTATAAAAAAATATTAACTATAACATATGTTCTTTCAAATTATTGTTTAAAATATATGCATACATTTTTGTGGGTCAGGGAGTGGAGGAGGACTAAGGGGGATATTTTTTATTAGCTTAAAATGATATTCACAAAAAGTAATTAATTTCTGAAGGGGAAAAATTTTACCTTGCCCCCGCCCTGGAAACGCTTATGAATAATAGTATGGTCGACGCCATTAATTGGTTATACTCCTTTAGTGGGAAAACATTTTTAAACTTAAATATAAAACAGTTCCTGAATTAGAATAAAAACAAAAGGTCAATAAGGAAATTACTAAAAATCAAATCAAATTATCTAAATCTCCCATAATCCTTGGTACAGGTTATTAATCTTTTTATTTTCACATATTCTCTGACATATTTTACTATTCTAGCTTTTCATTTATTTTTATTTTAACTTATCATAGATACAATGTACTTTAAAATTAAAATCGGTCCTTTTCTTGTCTTTAAAGTAATTTAATGCATATGCAATTTATGGGCGAGGGCTGCATTTATTTTGCCCAATCCCTTTTAATCAGCGCACAGTCCTAGGACTATTCGACGTACAAGTACTTGCGGCTTGCCAACAAATGTGTGAAGGGCTTCTTATTTTTTCTCCCCCTAAATTAAATATCCAGTTTGATGGATTAGAGGAAACAGAGGGCGAAAACATTCTTTCTCACTCACGTATAATTTTAAAGATAGGTTCGGTCGGAGATTTTACTTTTTTATTTTTACTTTATTTTACGGCGAAACTTATGCCATTAATAATAGATGATATTGAAATAAAAATTGTACCTAATGACATAGATAAATTTATTGATTATCACGTTTATCTTAAAGAAAGATCTCTATATATTATTAATCAAGTATTAATTGGTAATAATAGCAGCGTTAAAACCTTTTATTCATCAAATTTTATCACTTATGTTCATCAACGAGAATATGCAATAATTGATTCTGACTATTCGAAGACAAAAATTATTGGTTCAGATGAAGCTACGACATGCCATATTGTGTTAATTAAAAATAGAAACACCTCAATCTTGTGCCTAGTTCACATAGATAATGAATATGGTATAAAGGTAAATGTATTTTTAAATGAAATACAATATTAAATTTTATAATAATAGGCCTGGCTATTAAATGTTGTAAAAGGCATGATAGAGTTATCAAATTATGGTAATATATTCATAATAGTATAAATTATTTTCTTTTACTTAAGATAATAATATACAAACATTTGATATATGGTTATATTGTGGGTATAAAGATGAAGGTAATGTGTCCCAAAAAATATCACTTGCTGTTTTAGATGCATTGATTAATTTTAGTTACCCAAATAAAACTGTTGAATTTATATTGCAATGCCTATGCACTGGCTCAATAAATACCAGATATATGAATCCTCCAATTGAACTTAGCACAAATTCAAGTTACAATGAGGATAAGATTACCCATATAGTTAAGGATACAATTCCCTTGCCAATCATAACAGGAATGGCCTATCAATTATCATACCCTTATAAAAAAAAATATTATTCATCAGTCAATAAAGCTATGAAGGATTTCTTTAACCCATTTCCAGCATTATTTGAGGATAAAGGACCTGATTATTTGTTGCGATCTGCTCGTAACTTTGTTTCCTACAATGAATGTGCTACTGAAGACATCAAATATTATAAATATTTTGACATTACGGATATCCCAAAATATTTTACAAAAAGTGAAAAAAATTTCACTGACTACCTACATTTTGATTTTCATTTGTGCAAAATTCATAATGGTGACAAGTTAAGTAATTTAACTGATAGTATGATTTTGCACAATTTTTCAACATCCCCTTTAGCAGAATCAAAAAATTTTGTTCCTAGACTTAGGAAGATGTTCAAATTATTGCAAATAAGACATGATACTAAGGGAAAAGAAGGGAGTATTCCAGAGAACTTTATTAAACATGCGAATACTTATAAAATGGACAATCATACTGGTGAATGGTTATTGGTTTGATATGACCCAAATAGCTGATTTCCATATGTTTTAAAAATAGCTGACTAAATATTAAGTGATCTAGTAAAGTTCATTTTGAATAAAGGGCACATGTATTATATTTAATTAAATATCAATTTTTTAAGACACATAATTTCTTCATTGTTATTTCATTTTGTTACTAACTAAATTTTTTTGACTAGGAAAAATATTTTTAAATTATAAAAACGATTTATATTTCAGATATTTTATTAATGGGCTTTGTAAAATTAGATCTATTTATATAAACAAACATCATAGTCATAATCTATTTAATATAATATTATACAATCTTTTTTTTACGCAATAAATATGAACTTATTTATCATACCTTATCCTAACCTAGATAAAATAAAAATCGATTTAATTTAAATCATGGTTAAGGATCTTGTGATTGAAATTAGTATCATAATCTCCTTCTTATCTATTGAGGCTCATATTTATAATTTTTGATAAAATTATCAAATAAGGATCTACATGATATCTTTTTTTAAAAAAAGTTATATGAATATATATACAAAAAATATATTTAAAATATATATACTAATTTAAATACCTACAAAAAATTAAAAAAGTAATATATACAATACCTTGATTAATACTTTTTTGAACAAATAAACACTTCAAGTCGATTTTTATAGCACAACTCTTGTTGTAATTGGCTTTATTTTTTGTTTACCTGCAATAATTATTTTTTTGGGGGTTAATAACAATTGGTATTTGTTTTATTTTTAGGATTGTATTGAGTATTTAGTAATTGGTTTAATTGTCAGACTCAGTGTGAGAAATATTTTGTAAATATTATTTTTATTTATAATTTATAATTTTATATTTACTTAGTTATGTATAAATTACGTTTTTTACTTTTTTTTAAATAAAAAAATTTGAAAACTGATTTATAGTATTTTTTAAAAATTTGAAAACTGATTTATAGTATTTTTTAAAAATTCTAAAAAGATAAAAAAAATAATTTATAGATTGAGAGGCAAAGTATAAAAATTAAAAAAAATTAATCTAAGAGAAATAATAAAACCTTACTACTAACTGAAAAATTTTAACTACGAAAAAAATATAATCTTACTTGAAATCCCCTAACTGACTCAAATTACACGATATATGTTTTATTCAACAAAAACAAAATTCAAGTTTCTTTATTAAAAAAAATAATAATAATCAGTTTTCCTACAAAAAAATTAATGATTACTTTTATAATAATCTATATCAAAAAAAAATATATATCATCACATGTAATTTTTATATCCAATCAACCTTATTTAAATCGGTTGATTGGCATTTCGCGTAATAAACAAATATATTCGTATATACAAATAACAAAAATTTTCTTCAAATTTCATCAAATTCTACCAACAGGAGACAACCACTGAATTTCAGCGTAGGAGGACGATGATATTATTTTGGTAAAAATATATTTTGTAATACATATTGTGTAAAACAATTATTTAAAGTTTTATTTAACACATTCACACTTTTTATAATATTAATTTTCAAGATAGAATCGTTAAAAATGATTTTTTTTAAAAAAATTTCTAGTTTGTACAAAGATAAATTGAAAGATTTCTATATATCGATCCATCAGAATAAATATACAGCATGAATATCCAATAATATAAATTTATTTATTCATTAACAATACATATTAGCTCGATTGATGTCGATTTTTAAATCGGCCCGATTAATATTTTAACCAAAATAATATTATGTAAGCCTCTAGATTTGGCAAATAGAGGTACAAACATTTCCGCAATCTCGAAATCTCCAGCCATATATAATATTATTTTGGATAAGATCATAATCGGGCTTTTTAACAACACTACCCGTATAGCCCCTTATTTTGATTTGCAAATTTGAAAAACTAAACAGGAGAAAAAAAATGATTTCATTTGAAAAATTAGCCCTTCATCGAATGAACGCCTTAAATTAATAATCTTTGATTTTTATTAAATTACACAATAAAAGATTAATAAATGAGCTTTCGTTTCTTTATTATACTGCTTTTAATTTTAGACCTTAAAGAAAAATTAATCAATAAAATTCTTTATCACATTTTTCTATTTTCATTTATTTTTAATTATGTAACGAAGAACTTTTGTAACTGTTATGTCCTAAATAAAGATAATATATCCATTCTTTTTTTTTGAAGTGACGATGATAACTTAGCCATATATTTCATAACGGTAATTTTCCTCTCCTATTCTGGTAGTGTGCTTATCATAGCATAGCGTTGAGAGTTGTTAAATGATCGAGATAAAAAGATGGAGGATACTGGAATCGATCCTAATTTTTTTCTGGATTTATGATCCAGTCTAAAATTGAGGATCGTGATCGAGATCATTTATTTAATATTCGATTAAAAATTTATAAATTAAAATAAAATTTTTTAAAATTAAATTATTATTTTAAACAAAAATATCTATCTACATCATATTTTATCATACTCAGTCATATTTTATATTTCATAAATCTTATTGAGAACATTTATGAGATTTACAGCCTACAAGTTTTATTTATTTAATTAATATACCTACTAGAGGAGACCGGGGTTATAGCGAGACTTTGCTTTATTTTTTAGAGTATTAAACTCTAAGGGATATTTTTTTTTACCAAAACTATATAATTATATAATGCATATGCAATGAAAATTTTTATTTCTATCGGACAGCATGAATGCATTATATGATTCGTCGAACCTGCAAAAGTAACTTTTTAAACCTTTACTATTTTTCAAAAATAAAGATTAATCTATATTTTTACCACAACAATCATCTTATATGAAAGAAAAAATCCTATTTTATAGAATATCAATTTACCCGAACAAAATTGATATTATAAATACTTCAAAATATGATCTTAATTAAAATGGTGGCATTTGGGCTATTTTTATGAGGTTAGAACCAGCCTTTTTCCCCATTTTTTAAAAATTTTTAACATGAAATAAAAGGCCATGAAGAGAGCAAATAAAAGAAAAAAATTTATTAATAAAAAAAACTAGTGTGCAAAAAACTATTCAAGCATAACAATCAAGATTGGTTTCAATTTCGTTTGCAATTTTAATCCTTTTTTTATTTGCAAAGATTGTGAATGTTCCCATTTTTTTGTTTATAAATGATTTTATATATTACTTTTATGCTTTAAATCATTACATATGTTATGTAACTTATGTGGAAATTTAGAAGAGCTTATAATAGCCACGAGAAAAAGCTTGTTCTTCCCCTGGGAGGGTTCACTTTTTTTCCCTAAAAAAAATTCCGGAAAAAATGCTAATTTTGAAAAAAGTATTAGATATCTATTTTTGAAATTTAAACATACCATAAAACTAATAGAGCTGAACTAAATAAAATATTTTTTGTTAGTACTTTTAATTTTACTAAGGTTTGCCTTTTAGGGTTCGCCATAACCTCTAATGTAACTACGACATATTCTTTATGTAAGAAGAACATATATTCTTCAAAGGTTAGTAGTTTAAACCTTAAAGGCATTTAGAATAATTAATTACTTCTTTAAATTTTTTTTATTTGTTAATCTTAATGTCAACATATTTATTAATACATATTGTATTTTTGTTTCATAAAGAGAAAACACTTCAAAATGACATTTCCAACACAAATAATTAATTCTCTACTAAAACAAATAAATTTTTATAATAAACATGCCAGAAATATCACAAAAAACAGCTGACTAGGTTATAATATAATTTAATATCGACACCTTTCAACCACTGTCACTAGTTGAGATTATAACATTTTCTCCTATTTCAAAAATTATGTGTTGTCAAACTCTGGGAAATAAAATATCTATTGCCTTTACATATATGACCACAAATCTTATAAAAGATTTGTTTGAAGTCATATGTATGCACCACTGCTGATTGTTGGAGTGGTAATGTTTTATTTTAGGACTTTTATCGGAGTCACTGCTTATTAACTGGCCCCATTAACCCTCAAGAGAAGATCAGTAGCTTTGGCACTGAGGCACATAATTGGAAATATGATGTCTTGGCTAAAGAAATTATGGATACAAGACTTATAAAATTCATAATAAGGTGATGAAGATGGTGACTCTTTGTCAAAACCTTTAAGTAATATTTATATTTAACAAAAAAATGAAAACGATATATTTTTCCTAGAGTTTTTGGAGAAAATAAGAAGATAGTGAGGATCAGGTATTAATAAATTTGGATGACATATTATCTGTTGATGACCCAAATAAACCTACTATTAGCCTACCAAAACATCAATTTTGTTGTCATAATATGGACCTTATTGCAACCGGAGAAGGCGGTGCTATCAATTTTAAGCAGATCAAAATTTTCTAAATGTTTATTATTTTAATAAACAAATAAAATACCTCCCCTAAAATGGTTGTTATTCTATTGGAGAAATTAGAAAGATATCTTAAAGCTCCCAACAAGACCTATTGGAGCTCCTAATACTATTCAATGCTCTCTGAAAAGTTTTTAGAAGTAGAAGAAGTTTGTGATCAAATTGGATTCACTATGTTTAGGAAAGAGGAATGTTTCTTTATCAAAAAATATGCATCTATTTAAGTAACTAAAATTTAAATATTAAGGTTATGAAACCCTTGGCAACATCATTAAAATCTTTGCACGGAATGATGAACTAGCGATATCCAACCCCAGTTCTAAAAATTCTAATAGATAAATTAAGGAAATTTGCTGCTTGCAGTATTGTCAGCCCCTTGTAGAGTGTGTTTATAAAGGTATTGATAAAAGGTAATGCAATTATATTGATGGATATCAGAGATCTGCAAAATTTATTAAAAAATTGCAATGATCTTGGCAAATTTATTAAGATATTTTTAACAGCAGGACTACTAAGCCTCTGATATCTAGTAAAATTTTAATAGGCCAGCATAGGCATAAAATGTTTAATAGATTTTTTGAATTTTAAGCTAATATTTTGAGTAATATTCTTTGAAAATATATTACAATATGTTTATTCCTTTGTATATGAAGTCTAAATATAATATTAAAAAATTTAATCAATATTTATGATATGACCCAAATGCTAATTTTAATTATAAATAAATATATTCTTATTGTTATATTATATTATTAAATTCCAATAAATTTGCACAATATAATTTATTTTTAAATTTGTTAAGCAGCGATCAAAAATTTTCTTTAGAAATTTAAATAAGAAAATGATAGTGATTGTGATCCTTTTTTAAAAAAAAAGTCGATCCTCACTATCTTATCAAAACGATTGTTTAATAGAATGTTAATAGAAATGCAATCTATTTATTATTAAATATAACGCTACAATTTGAAACTATGTTTCGTATATTCTTGTAGTTTATATTTATACTTTGTTTATATCACTTTTATTGTCAGTATTATTATTTAAGTTGTAGAGGCTGGTATTTCATCCATTTTTAGAGATCGGGTGAGTTTCATTAGAACCTACAGAATATAGGCGAGATTAATTTAATCCATGACAAAAAAATTAGAGGTTTGTCAACTTTTTTTGATAAGGACATATTTAAAAACGGAACATTTTATACTAAAACATGAGGAAGACAAAACATTAGAATTAGAAACGTAAAACATAAAATTCCGTTCTTTTATAGGAACCCTTCGACAAAAAAAAGGGTCCGGGTTCGGGTACAGAATAAAATTTAAAAAACACCCGGGTCCTGGTTCAGGGAACATAAAAATAATGACTCAAAATAAGATTTTCATTCATTTATTATTATACTTCAATATATACATATTAATAGTTTACAAATGTAATTTATATTTTAAATGTTTTATTCAATCGCACAATTATAATATCTTCTAAAATATCATCCTTGAGATTTCCATGTAAATTAGACAATATATATTTCAAAGATGAAAATTTACGTTCTACCCTTACCTAAAATAGATAGTTATCTTTATAAAATTATTGTATTTGTGTCGCCGATACAGCCATGAAGATTCTAGATAAGATACATAATTCTGGATATATTGGGAATTTTCTTCCCAGAATTTTAAAATATTTGTATCCTTATTTATTCTCTTAACTTCTTGAGAACTTTTCTATTTAAGATGCAATATACATTTTTTTATCCTCCTTTCTATCTGATGATAATTTAATTTTTTTTGTCTACCTTAATGTAAAATTTCTAGATTATCAATATTGCTATCATTATTATTATTATCACAACAACAAATAGGTATTAGCCTCCAATATATTGTATATAATGGAGTTTTGCGTATGCCATAAATCCGTAAGATGGTCTTTAGTCATTTGCTTTTGCTCAATACTCAATAAAACTTGATATCGAGGGTCTAATTATATAGAAGAGTATACAACACTATTTTGCAAATATTGTTGTCTCGAATTTTCATGTTTTCTAATATTCGTATAAAAAGGACTAAATTTTTCTAAATCCAATCCATATGCCATAAAAATCAAATAAACATAATTGTTCTGATTGTAATCTTATTGTTATTTTTACTAATGCACTAGTAAGGTCATTTATTTGACACCAATCATCTTCCGACAAAATGACTTCACATGCTCCTATAATAAAATCATTACAAAAATCTTTCAAACTTAATAATCGTTCTAGCATCATACAAATTGGTGACCAACATGTTGTGCATTATCATTTAAATTAAAATATTATTACTTGCACTACAAAATAATTTACTTTCAAAATAATCAACGTATTTCTTATAACATAACTTATTAATAAATTTATAATAAAATCCCCAAAAAAGTTAATAAAATTTAAAAAAATTTATATTATTTTTTAAAAAAATATTTTTATTTTTAAATTTTTTTTTGAAACCTAGAACCCTCTACTAAAAGGGTCCTGGTTCGGTTTCACATCCCTGTTTCTAACATGTTTTTAAATTTTACTTTGTTTATTTTAATGTCGATTGAGTCTAGGATACTGTCGGAATTAAAATAAGTTGTATTAATTGTACTTCCGAATTCATTAAAAATATCGAAAAATTAGTAGATTAATAGCAATATAAGAAGAGTAGTGAAATTAAATTTTGAAACTTATGCCATTGTATAGCTCTTAATTGCTATCTGGACACCCGAAGAACCAACTGTAAGCGAGTTATAAGTAAAATAAGAAAGTTTTTGCGTATGCCATAATCAAAAATAGTGAGATACAATAACTAAAATTTAAAATAGCTACAAATTCTGAAATATATAACAACATTCAATGCAGCAGTTGTGACTTAATATTCCAAAAACCTCAAAGGGCCGCTTGTTAAAAAGATACGATTTTATATCATATTGTTTAATTAGAATATAACATTCTAATTATCAACTTATCTTAGATTTGTCCTCAGATAGGGCAAAATTAATAGCTTAATTTAAGTATAAACATTTAATTAATGAAAAAAATAAATTAAATGCAAACACAATTAAAAACAAGAATAAATAATAGAGAGATTAAGAATTTTTTTTTCATTCATTTGTTTTGATATAAATATATCTATATATTAAGGTATATAATATAGAGATTCTACAAGTTTAGCGTTATGATAATGTAAATAAGCCTCCTGGAAATGCATTACGCATAATTTGTGTAATATTCATATTGTAATTTTTGAATTTTGTGTATTTATTTTCTTTTAAAGATGAGAGGATGATTTGGAATATTAATTAACTGAAGAAATTTTTTTAAAAATATTTTATTATTTTTGCACTTATTCATATTTTCAATAAAACAATATAAATTTAATCTTATAAATATTATCGAATTTTTTTCTAACCAAATATCCACTATATCTTTAAAATCAATTTTTTCTTAGGAAAAATCTTATTCAAACCAGAGCCTGCTAATTTCTATTTTGCAACCTGAGCCCGGCCCAAACCTGAAGATTAATATTATTTGGGTATTTCAGTTTAAACTTTATAATATTTAAAAAATAATTTGTATTTATTCATATATTGCCACCTTAAATAAAAGTAAATTTAATCCCCATCCCCATAGGCTATTTTCAATGCCAAACAAAGTAAACCGAGCATACAATTCATTTAATTTATATATATATAAATACATAATAATATTGAAGATATTAAATAGACATGTAGAACCCAAATATGAATAATTATGATTTAACTAGTCACTAAATTTAAATTCAAGAAATGTTAATGTGGAAAATCGAAATTACGTATATAAATAAATGATATGAGTAAGATTAAAAATAACACCTGATTTTAATTAATATTTTGCTTAAACAAAATGATTATTAGGCATAATTTTAATATTTAAATTTAGGTTAAGTCAGGCATAGGGTCGGGCAATCTCTTACAGACCGACCTGGTCCGAGAAAAAACTTTCAATGTGTGAGCCCCATTGAGTCTAATCAGAGTTGGCCATAGCGATCTCTAGCCTAACTAATTAATTAGGCAGTTTTTCATATATATATTTTTTACCATTATTCTATACCTTTGTTTTAATACGAGGGCCAGAAAACATTCTTTAGCTTACTTATTTATAATCAAATGATGACCAGAAGCAAGATAGTTGAATACATTAGGTTTTATGTTAAATCATTAATTTAGGATTTGACATGCATTCCTTTCTTTCTAAAAAAAATCAACTCGTCTCCGATTCCTAGACAAAGAATAAATATCAAAATTGACTAATTATTAACACCATCGTTATATCCTCTTTTGGATATATGTCAAGCAGAAATGTAAGTTTTTTACATTATTTTGGTGACAAAATCAGAATAATTGCATAAAGAATTTTTTTTTCAAAAACGAAAAATCCGAATTATTAATTTAAACTATAATTATGCATTTTGGGGAGAATTTGTAGTAATAGTCACACTTTGGCTTTTATAGAATGACCCTTTTTATATTTTTTAAAAAATTATTCATTATCTAATAAACGTGATTTTAAAAAATATACATAAAAAGAATAAGAATATATTGAAAAAGAACATTTTTTAAAAAAAATGAAAATTAAAAAAAAATTAAATGTTAAAAATTTTATAAAAAGACAAAAATAAGTTTTAAAATAATATTTGCTAGGTCATGGCAAGTAATGAGAACTATGAATAGGGAATAGATTAAGTTTGTATAGAACATTGAGATTTCTTTTTTTAAAAACACTCTTATAGCATCAGGGCTAAAATTTCTTAATCGTTAGAAAAGAATAAAAATAATATTGATTAAAAATAATATTTATTATTCTGAAAAATGATTACTGGCATTAAATACATCCATCATGTATATCCCCTATATCCCCAAGCTAAATCTTTTTGTTCCTCACCTCAAAAATCGGGAAAAAATTATGTAAGAAAAAATTTTCAAAATAGGAAAATGGAAAAAGATTTATATTTAAAATGCTCACTTGTATTATGCTAATGGGTATAAACACTGGTCCCCAAATAAGGATATATTTTGTCCTTTAATCTTTTATATATTATATTCGCCATTGAAAAATTCTAACTTTATCTATAGACTTTAGTCTATATCATAGATAACTGCTAAATTTTGATGAATAAGGAGACATTATTATGTATTGTATAATGATTATAATCCAACGATTATTATTATATATTATGCAAATAATTATACTATATAAGATGATTTATATAGAAAGAGAATTGTTAACTTTAATTTTATTATGTTTTTGCTGTTAATTTATTATTATATAATTAATAATTATGAATAAATTGATTGTTTCAAAATCGATATTTTATTATTTACATTTTTATGTAAAAAGGCTCAAAATTCAACAGTCAAATTATGCATATGTCTTTATTTTAAAGCAAAAAGTAATCCAACACCTATAAATTTTATAATTAAAATTATTTATATATAATATCCGATTTTTTATAATTATGATCCCTTATAATTGATTTCAGAAAGATAATCAAACACCATTACCCTATAATTTTAGAATATTGGAAATATTTATAAAATTGTATATTTATGAATATAATTTTCCCCTTGATTTTCATCATTATTGTTAAATATAAATTCACCGTCGAAATTTAGTTTTCCAACTACGCATAATTCACGTTCTTCAAAAGCCCAGACGTTGGTTTCATTACAAATCTTATTTCAAAATAAATATATATTTCTTGTTTTTTTATACTTCTAAATCAGTTTTTTATATATTATATTTATTTTTGAAAGGTAAGTAATAAGATAAAACGGTCTAACAAACAACTTTGGACACTTACATCTTAATATAAATATATTATCGCTATAAAGAAATTAAAGCCAGAAAAAACATCTTAGGACATTGACATTATATGACAGAAATATTAATATGAAAAAAATGATATATGAATTTACTAGTATTGAGCATTAAAGGGCTCTAAAAACGGTTAACTCAATATTTTAGATAAAGAATATTATGCAAGGAATTTTGCTTATAGAGGCCAGAAAGGTTTGAAAATTTATGAACAAAATTTTGAGGCTTGTTTAATATTATTTTGGCTAAAATCTTATGTAAAGATTGTCTAAATCTAAATGTTTAGCAACGATATTTAATGGATATGATATTTATTTTACCACTCTATTGATTACTACCACACGGATTTCCTTTTGGTCCAAAATTTTTACTTTTATAATCTCTTCATTCAGGTGGTATTCTTAATTTTATTTTTGTGTTTTATTTATTAGAATTAAATTTGTTAAAAATACATATTTATTATTAGATTTAAGCTAAAAATATAATAGTCCCATAAAATAAAATTAATAATTTCGAAAATAGGATTATTTTTTTTATCATATAGGAGAATTTAACTAATTTGGTCTTGAAGCAGGCCCCTGGTATCAAAATAAACTTAATTGTAAATAATTAATTGGGAAAATTTTGCAATCTATGATATTCAACTTTTTATTTGGTGACAAAAAAATATATATTAAATTATGTTAAATGTAATAGTAGTGCTTTGCTTTTTCTATCCCTTATTTTTTTTTCAATTCATATGGCATAAAAATAAAAGTGTAGATATCTCATCTCCTGTTGTATGGTATTTATAAACTTCATTACGATATCATGAAATCTTAATTTATTCTTAAGATTTCTTAAATAAAAGACAGATTGAAATATATTTTTTTAAAAGGCAAAATATAATGTGCCATACTATAATGTTAAAAAAAACCAAAATTATTTGGGATAGTTTTATTAAAATATGTGAATTATTTAAGTGGTGCGTTCAAGTCAAAATTATTTTATTCTAAAAAATTAACTTATTAATGAAATTTTCGAAATCGAATTAGGACGCATAATGTATAAATGCGGGAATCATTATTTTTTTGGAAATATTTTAAACTTTGGATGCATCCTTAAATTTTAAAGGAAATATATGGTGTATAATATCCTTATTGAAACATAAAAATAAATTAGCATTATTATACTTTGATGTAATTCAACATGGGGCTCTATTGCATAGATGAAAGGGTAAGAACCATTTCTAAAATTAACAAATAAAAATATGGAAATCCAACTAATTATGTATAATGGAAAAAAAAATTTACATGCATTTTTTGTCAGTTGTGCGTGACTTTTTCTGGTGTTCACATTGTAACTAAAATATATATAAAAAATTTCAAATTGTGATTGCAATTATATTTTTACAAATTAATAAAATATAGTATTTTCGTGTAAAGGTTATATTATAGTTTTTAGATTTCCTTCTAAGTCATTACTTAACTCCTATTTTAAAAAAGTTAAAAATGAGAATGATTATCTTTTAACAAGGCTAGAAGCAGATGAATTAAGACCGCCTAGATATATTTATCAATATTATTGAAAATAAAAATAAAATTTTTTTGTTTTTATTTTGAAGTTAACTTAAAAACTTATAATATATTATGCCCAGCTTTTATTTTGTTAAAATTAATGTACCTTGCGAGTTTCATGAATAAAATTTTTTGTCAGTTCTAAAAATAATAAATTTTTTTTTAAAAAATTATAATTAGGAAAAATCTTAAATAAATATACTAAAAATATCCTCAATGTGATCAAAAGCTGTTCTGGCTGATTAGGGATATTTATATGGAACAGTTTATAAAGATTTAATTCTTTGACAATCACGAATAATTTAATGGTCATTTAGGGGAATTTATCATCTTTATGTCCTCGACAAAATTATTAGGTGTCAGATGAGGACCACAAGATAAAAAATGATACTAAATTTAGGTTTAAATGGTGATTATTTATGATTAAATGGGTAGACTCATATACAATATTATAAATTCTATAATTAGATATAATTACAATTTATGGTATTATATCATCTTTAAAAGGGCATATAGTATGAATAAATAGTAGCTTAAGGTAAGAGCGCGCCATTTTTTTGCCAAATAGCCATTATTATATTTTATTATTTAATTTATAAATTGAAATTTATATATGTGAAAGATTTAAAACTTTTACAAAATGGGTATATGTGTGATTTAAAACACAGATAATATTAACGAAATTACACTTGATGAAGATGAAAATCTTGATAACAATAATATCAATTTTCCTTCATTTTCCAAAATTTAATAAATGTTTTCAAAAGTTGGCTATAAATTAAGGTGTTTAACTGCAGGGGATAATTGTCATAACTTTTGGCAACACCTTGAATTATTTATTTTTAAATTTTAATAGTGTTTTTAATTTTTTGAATGTTCATGTCAATAATAAAAGAATGATAAGAAAACTACTTTTTAATTATATATAATTTATAAATTCATTTTATAATTAATGAATATTTTCATAAATGTAGATTTTCAAATTATAGACAAAAAAATAAAATAAATTATTAAAAATTTTCTTTTTTTTAAAATAGCTTAAAAATAGCCAAGCTACTTTTTAAAAATGGCAGCTAATAGAGGACTATTTTTTTGATAAGTAGCGGTAGCGCGGTACTTTATTGGCCATTGCGTTAAGGAGCTGCATTTAAAATTAGGATTTAGCAACACTGGTGATTTGTTCTTATATTACAAATTTCTTACTTTGTAATTTATGGTGAAAATTATCTTTGTTTTCTAAAAGAGAATAATATTAATAAAATACAATGATTTAATTTGCTGTAATTAAAAGTCAAAAATAGTTAAATATCGTGGCTCAAAAGAAAATTTAAAGGAAAAAACAATATGGCATTTCTCAAAACATGAATGATACACATAATAGAGAGGAAAAAAAAATTATCCTAAGAAAATTTTGTAATTATATATTAATAAGCAGTTGAAAGATCAGGGGCATTATCCAAATAAACGGGGGTGAAAGATATTTGCTTCTACTTATCTTACTGGTGATATGGATAAAATTAATAGGAGTGCGGGGAGTTAAAATATTTTAAGGGGGTAAATCAAGATGTGATATCTTCTTTAAAAAAATCCACCACGAAGAAGCTGATCAATTGAGAATTTATACTTAAAAACTTTATTTTAATGTTTTAAAACATTAATTTCTTGAGAGTTTTTATCTAAAATGGGTAAAAATATTAAAAATATATATTCAAACTTTAAATTAAAACATGTAAGTCAAACTGGTCGTCATTGCCTCTAATGCATCTCTAGCACTGGTCGCTCAATCCGGCATAACAGATGTAATGCTCTCATAAAACGAGCTTTACAGTCCGCAGGCTTTCTGCCACTTTAGAACCCTCATGTCTCTTTACGGATGGGAGACGACCCGATAGAATTTCACAAATTCCTTGGGAGAATGGCCAATTTCTAGCGTGGGATTTCTCCTGCGTTGACCCCCTCTCACCCTCCAACATCAATAAAGACATTTTAAAATACACTGAAGATTTTAAAACAAATAAATATATGGATATTCCAGATGAATATAAATTGGTACCAGTTGTCACGACAACCTTAACATCCCTTGGAAGTCAGGCTCTTAGCCTAATTAAAAAGATTGGCAGAACCTTAAGAACAAAATCAGGAGACCCAAGGCGTCTACTTACGTCAACGCATAGGAATTCAGATTATAAAATCTAATTTCACATGATTCATAGGTCATTCCCCGAGGAGCCCGATTAATCTAGATTTTTTCTTTCATCCCTAAATTATTTAAAATCCCCCCTCCCCCCCCTCTTCTTTATAATCATTTGCACTAATTATATTTCCAATTATGAAGTCGTTGGTTGTTAAATTTCTTGAAATATCTAGAATTGCTAAATTATATATATATTTTTTTAAATACAGTATATGTTTTTTTTAATATATGTATATTTACGCGAAATTTTTAATTTTTTAAATGACTAAATTTATTTTATTTTTAATATATATTTTTTTTTAAAAGTTAAAAAAGTTTAGTTAAATTGTAATAAAAAAATAAAATTTAGAAAAAAAAGAAAAGAAAAAAAAACAATATTTTATTTATATTTAATTTAAAAATAATATATTATTTAAATGATTAAAGCAAATATAAAAGAAAAAATAAAACGTTCTTTTTTGATCGATATTTTTTTCTAAATTATAAGAGTTTATATTATATTATATAAATAGTAAAATACTTTTTTCAAAGCTACCTTCAAAACTGATTTTACTTTTCGTAACCCATGATGCATTTAGACAGAACCAATGACATTTAATACCTATCTAGACTGATGAGTAATTCATTCATTAAAATTAGTGTTACTAAAAGTGTTCAATTTGAGCCAATTTTTAAAAACGGATAACACAATATTTTTACCAGAAAAATATTACCTAAGCCTCAAGATTCTGCGAATGGATGTCCAAACATTTGTGTCATCTTTGAAATATTGTTCTAGATAAAATATTGATTTGTGCCGATTTCAACATTAATTTAAAATGCATTTTGGAGCTTATTTGAATTCAAATCAGCTGGTGACAGGCCATTTTGATTTTCATTTTTTTCTAAGTTTTCATGTACTAATATTTATACGTGTAACCAAAATGGCGTGTCATGACCTGACTTTTATTGATATACATATAAATAAATGGTCAGTTGGTAAAATTATAATGGATAGAAACGTCCAACAAAAAGAGAGAACAGATGCATCTCAATAAATGCTACCGAAAAGTAGAATGATCTTTATATAATAAAATACCCCGCAACGGCGACAACTAAAACTATGCCAGTAGGGGATTTTTCTTTTATTTGTCATTTATATTTATTTATTATGTGGTTTGAAAGTTTAAACAGCTGTCCGGGTAGCTTTAGCGTCTTTTAACCAAACCCTAGAGGGTATATGATAATTATAATATTATAGAAAATTGGGTAGATATTTAATGAATCTCCAATTAAAGATTTAAAGAAGTTAGAAAATTGTTTTAGAAATAAGGAAAATATAAAGTAGCTTATAATTAAAAATATAAGTGCATAGAAGATAAATTTTTTTTATTTATTGGAAGGGAAGTTGTTAAAAGGCTAGAATCGTATTATTTTTGAAAATGGCTAAAACAAAATTTTAGCTAAAATAATATCTCTAAAGTCTAGAAATTTGGCTGATTGATGTCCAAATCATTTTACCATCCATAAGCAAGAATATCATGGCTTATAAATTTTATTAGTGAGCTAAATATCGACGTATTTTTTATTTACCTATTTATATATATATCCATTAAAGATTCAAACAACTGGCCGGCGATATAAAAAATCTTTGGTATGAGATTATATTTGTCGTATGCAAAATTAAACGCACAATTCGCATCCATTGTGGCTGCCGAATCATTTAGACGCAAAAAAATATTCTAACATATTTTTTTTACCATTCGTTACTACCACATTGGGGAAGTTCGACGGAGAAGCCATCCTCTTGTTAATAACTTTGAGTAAAAGATTAACAACATTCACAGGAGATTCCAAAGATAATTTATATCTTAGACAAGGATTATCTCTCGAGATATGCAGATCAAATTTTATCTCCATCCTCGGTTCCATGCCAGACATTATTTACAATTGTATGCCGTTTTATAATATTTTAGTCCAAAAAATTTAATATATATATATTTTCAAATTATTGAGATATTAATTTGTAATTTATTATTTCACATATAAAATATGAAAATAATATTTATTTAAAAAAATAAAAATTCTGCATTATGTTTTTTTTATTGGTAAATAATTTTATTTAAAATTTTCAATTTAAAAAAATAATTTATTATGTTATAAAGTGAAAATCTTTTTTTAAAGAGGGAGAAAAAAATTAAATATGGATTTGTTCATTACGAAGAAAAATACTAATCATCCGAGAGATGGAATTAATAAGTAAACGTAATTATCCTTAAGAATGGTTATTGAGATCTTCAGTCGTGAAAACATTTACGGGGCTCCCCAGAAATTTAAATATATTTATTTTTAAAAAATAAAATTTTTCTATTATATAAGTTTTAGTTAATATATTTTCTTAATAAATATATTCTTAAATTTTGTGATTATTTGCAAAAAAATAATAATAAAGTTAACGAAATATATAAATCAATTTAAAAAATCTTTTTTAAATTCGATTATCCTATAGCTTTGAGATCCGCTAAAATTCCGTTCTTCCCAATACCTCCAGGTGTTTTCAGATCTGATAGGTAACCAGATGGTATTTCTCAAATTCCTTAAAAGAGAAACAAATTCCTGGTCAGGGATTATTCGTGCATTGATCCATGCTCCCTCCAATAAACCCTCGAACATCCTTGAGGAAAAAGACCAATTAGGAATTGCTAAATATTCAGAAATTTTGCAAGACTACATATTCATTCCGATAATTTTCACTAACAACATTTCGGAATCGCGCTTTATCCTTATTTACGAATCTTGGTTCTCACTTTCTTAAACTTATAGATAAACGTAGACTTCTCCTCAAAGCAAAATATAGTCATTGCCACAAGGCTAATTACATTAGCTTCATGAGTAGCCTCATTCACAAGATGATTTCTTTGAATATTAATATTGGTATTTTCTTTTTTTAAATTATATGTATTAATTT